CTGGCAGCTGACAAGAGTGCGGCTCTTGAGCACGTAGGTCCCTGCATGAACCACACTCACGAGAATCAGGATCGAGCTTGGAACAAATGCCGAGACTGGGCAAACATATGAAGCTATGGCTTTTACATACCCGGGGATCTCACCAATAGCCCGTTCATGCGCACCACAAGGAGCGAGGGGCAGAGGTCGAGCAGCTGCTGAAGGGAAGTCACGTCCACCCTTGTGCGGAGGGTGAGGAAGAGGAGATTGGGCAGCAGCGGTGAAGGCAAAGTTGCATCGCCCAGCTTGGCGAGTTGCTTGCCATGGACGTGGAGGCAGCGGAGCTCCTGGCAGGCCGAGACGTTGGACCAGAAGCCATCGAACTTGTGCTGCGAGCTGGTGCTCGAGATGCTCAACGAGTGGAGACTTTTCCCGACCTGGTGCAGCCAGCGAGTGGAGCTGCAGTCCGGCTGGTGCTGGAAGAAGCTCTGGATCGATAGCTGGCGGAGGCTGTTGTGATGACCAAACCAGCGCGCGAGGCCTTGCTCCACGCCAGGACTGCTCGAGTCGAGGCAAAGATGCGTGACGAGGCGTGCCAGTCGCGCCCACCTCTTGCTTACCAGGGAAGAGGAATGCAAGTCGCGGGAGGAGGGGAGGAGGGACATGATCCGGATGAGCAGCTCATCCGGAACATCGTCACAACAGCGCCGCCTCCACATCCAAACCCTAGAAGACGGAGTTTGCCTCCTCGAGGAGGAGGAATGAAACCAAGCGTGCGATATTCTTCGTGAGAACGCTCCAGTTCTTCACGCAGCGAGTGGTTGGATCTCGCAAATTCCTCAATGCCGCGACGCTCCAAGAACTTTGATGCCTCCTCCATGCTTTCCTTTTAATCGTGATCATCGATTGGCGCGCTCTTCTCATCCGTACGCGACTTCTCTTCTCCGGCAACGAAATCTTGGAGCTTGATTCCTTCCAACCCTAAAATTTTGTATATGCCCGAGAGAATCTTCTAGGCATATTCAACCGTCGTTCATGGGATCCAGCGGCTTTAGGTCTTGCAATTCCCCCCCGAATGGGCATCCAGGACACGAGATCGCGCTCGGCATCGCATCGAACAGCAATTTTGTGCGTGCTAGCCGCCCGCCACGCGGGTATCAGCACGAAATCGATCGAAGAGCTCCTGGGCCTCGTCCAAGAGCCCCAATCGCGTCAGTGCATTGAGCAGCAGCGTCCAGGAGATAAGATCCCTCTCGGGCATCGAACCGAAGAATTGCTTCGCATCGTGGCTGCTAGCATCGCATTCATCGCTACGAGCTTCCATTCCTCCATGGAGTTGTAGATCGCCCAGGCGTCTTCCAGGTGCCATTGCGGGTGTAGGCCGTGAGGATCGAGTCCCAGGAGAATTTCTCCCTTCTCTGCATCGCATCGAAGATCAATCGAGCTGCCGCATCGCCCATGCGCCTGGATCATCACATTGCAGGTGTAGGGATCGACTTCGAGGCCATCGTGACGGATCTGGGCGTGAATTTGATGAACCTCGCCCAAATCTCGAGGAAGCTAGCAGTTTGATTCCAGGAACGGGCGATCGGGACATTCTAAAAATGCCAAAAGAATATTCTATGCGCGGCTCAACAAGGCCAAGTGGAGAAAACAAAGGAGTTCTTTGAGAGAATGCCCAAGATTAACTTGTACGTCGCACAAAACAGGTATCTTAAACACAGTAAGCTTATCTTTGATCAGATGGAAGAATATTCTATAATTTCGTCGAATGTGATGGTAGGGCATTTGGAAAAAGTTAAGTGTCTATTTGATTCAAAGACCTTAGTTCTTACAATATAAATATCTCAGAGGAAGCGAGAAATCTCATAGACTGCCTTGCTTAGTACTGCATATGCCAGAAAAGGTCATCTGGATAGAGCCAAAAGAACATTTCAAGGCTTGCTAAGCCAAGATGTAATCCTTTAGAACTCGATTATTGGTGGCTTCGCACAAAATGTAGAGTCAAGGAGCTCCTTTACCAGATGAACCTTGTGGAAACACTGGACGATGTCACATTTTGGTGTGTTCTCCTGGCATGGTCACACAAAGGAGAGGTGTTCCATGGAAGAAGCTTGTTTTGATCGATTCACTTTGATTTTGAAATGGCCCACAAGAAGCAACATTTATATCTGCTTGCTGGGATTGTTAAGCCGAGCTGGTTACTTGAGCAAGGCTGAAGAACTCCTAACCACCATGCCATTTGCGGCCGAGAATTTAGACTGTGTAGGAGTCACTGGGATGAGAAGTGAGGATTGGGCTTGGATTCGTTGAATGGTTCTGCTTATGTGTTGACATATTACTTGCACTAGAAAAATTACACTACCATCTAATAAATGCGTTATGTATTGATGTAGCAGCCAGAGTTTTGGTGAAGAACAAAGAAACATCAAATATGTGAGCACATCTAACTAATAAAAATCTTACAGCAATTAAGCAATTAAGTATACATGCATATATTTCAACACCAGTATGGTAGATTATGTCAGAAAATTCAGTGATATATCACCTAATGTAGGATTTATTACAATCTTGAAACATTTAACAAATTTTATCCTAATGGGATTCTTTGTTAAAACAATGAGACTTTCCTATTTTCTAATAGCTCTTCTCATCCTAGTAGTATGTTGTGAGTGCTATAGAAAGAGTGTTCACTTTGTTCTTGTCCATGGTGCTGGTATAAGGTATCCTCCCGACTCAGGCAAATGGGCCACTATATTAATCCCGCTAGTGCTGGAATTAACAGTCCAGATGCTACAACTGTTGGAACATTGGAGAACTACACAACTCCCTTGACACAACCTATTCAATCTTTGTCCCCTGATGACAATGTTATAATGTTTTTGGATTCTGTTGTTTGATGTGATATTGTTTCTGAAAAACTTCAGGTTGTGCTAGTTGGGCACAGTTTGGGGAGACTGAGTGTTACTTATATATTGGAGAAGTTCCCTGAGAAGATCATGGCTGGGGTTTATTTAGCAGCTGTGATGCTACCTTTGGGCCCAGAGGGTGGTGCCAATTTTTCATAAGCTTGGAGTTTTCTTTATAATTTTTCTCCATGGCTCAACAGCAGCAGGTTTTTTCAAGCTGGATCAAGTTCAAAAGTACTTCTACAATATTTCCCTGCTAGAGGTAAAACATTGTTAAATATGAATTGATTTTATATGTATTTGTTGCATAGAATGTGGAGCTGGCTAAATCTTTTCTGAAGCCATCTCCTATATTTGATGGCACTGTGAATTTTACAAGCACTCATTATGGCACTATTCCTCGTTACTTTATCAAAACATTGAGCAAGGACAAATTATTCCTTAGTGCAAATCAAGAAGATCATATCATCAGGACTCCACCTAAAGAAGTGCTTAGTATTGACTCAGATCACTCGCCATTCTTTACAAAGCATGCCAACTTTTAAAAATTGTCAAAGGATTAACAAAGCATTACCTAATAGGCGGACATGCAAGCTCATACTAATATTTTCATTTGCAACACCATATTGTTGTTGCTCACACAGTAATGTAGCCTTCATGGCGCACTCTAAAAAACACTATTTAGGTTTAAGCTGCTTGTCCTAGGTGGTACGCCTGGGCGATCTACAACTCCATGGAGGAATGGAAGCTCGTAGCGATGAATGTGATGCTAGCAGCCACGATGCGAAGCAATTCTTCGGTTCGATGCCCGAGAGGGATCTTATCTCCTGGACGCTGCTGCTCAATGCACTGACGCGATTGGGGCTCTTGGACGAGGCCCAGGAGCTCTTCGATCGATTTCGTGCTGATACCCGCGTGGCGGGCGGCTGGCGCGCACAAAATCGCTGTTCGATGCGATGCCGAGCGCGATCTGTCCTGGATGGAATCTCCAGGAAGCTAAAGAGCAATTTGATACCAGGAACGGAGGAACGGGCGATCGGGACATTCTAAAGATGCCAAAAGAATATTCTATGCCAAACGATGATTGCGGCATTTGCTCAACAAGGCCAAGTGGAGAAAACAAAGGAGTTCTTTGAGAGAATGCCCAAGATTGGTATCTTAAACACAGTAAGCTCAGATGGGAGAATATTCTATAATTTCGTCGAATGTGATGCTATGCCCAAGCCGAAGTTAAGTGTCTATTTGATTCTATGCAAGAAAAAGACCTTAGTTCTTGCAATATAATGTGCACAACATGGATATCTCAGAGGAAGCGAAAAATCTCATAGACTGCCTTTCTTAGTACTGCATATGCCAAAAATGGTCATCTGGATAGAGCCAAAAGAACATTTCAAGGCTTGCTAAGCCAAGATGTAATCCTTTAGAACTCGATTATTGGTGGCTTCGCACAAAATGTAGAGTCAAGGAGCTCCTTTACCAGATGAACCTTGTGGAAACACTGGACGATGTCACATTTTGGTGTGTTCTCCTGGCATGGTCACACAAAGGAGAGGTGTTCCATGGAAGAAGTTTGTTTCGATCGATTCACTTTGATTTTGAAATGGCCCACAAGCAGCAGCATTATATCTGCTTGCTGGGATTGTTAAGCCGAGCTGGTTACTTGAACAAGGCTGAAGAACTCATAGCCACCGTGCCATTTGCGGCCGGGAATTTAGACTGTGTAGGAGTCACTGTGATGAGAGGCGAGGAAGTTTTGTGGGTCAAAACGTCTTGGGCTTGGATTCGTTGAATGGTTCTGCTTATGTGTTGACCTATTACTTGCTCGGCAAAAATTACACTACTGTCTAAATAATGCGTTGTGTATTGGTGTAGCAGCCAAATTTTTGGTGAAGAACAAAGAAAAATCAAATATGTGAGCAAATCTTACAACAATTAAGCAATTAAGTACACATGCATATATTTCAAACCAGTATGGTAGAATTTGATATATCACCTAATGTAGGATTTGATTACAATCTTGAATTATTGGTAGCATTATATTATTTAAAGAATTTTATCTTACTGGAATTCTTTGTTAAATCAATGAGACTTTCCTATTTTCTAATAGCTCTTCTCATCCTAGTAGTATGTTGTGAGTGCTATAGAAAGAGTGTTCACTTTGTTCTTGTCCATGGAGCTGGACATGGTGCATGGTGCTGGTATAAGGTATCCTCCCGACTCAGGCAAATGGGCCACTATGTGGATTCAATTGATCTCACTAGTGCTGGAATTAATAGTCAAAATGCTACAACTGTTGGAACATTGGAGAACTACACAACTCCCTTGACACAACTTATTCAATCTTTGTCCCCTGATGACAAGGTTATAATGTTTCTGGCTTCTGTTGTTTGGTGTTATATTTTTTGAAAAACTTCAGGTTGTGCTAGTTGGGCACAGTTTGGGGGGACTGAGTGTTACTTATATATTAGAGAAGTTCCCTGAGAAGATCATGGCTGGGGTTTATTTAGCAGCTGTGATGCTACCTTCGGGCCCAGAGGGCGGTGCCATTTTTTCACAGGTATACAAGATTTTAGATCTTTAAGCTTGGAGTTTTCTTTATAATTTTTTTCTGTTTTCAAGATTGTTGCAAATTTAATAGCCAGTGGCATCAGTTCTTTTGTCAATGGCTCAACAGCAGCAGCTTATTTCAAGCTGGATCAAGTTCAAAAGTACCTCTACAACATCTCCCCGCTAGAGGTAAAATTGGTTAAAGATGAATTGATTTTATATGTATTTGTTGCATAGAATGTGGAGCTGGCTAAATCTTTGCTGAAGCCATGTCCTATATTTGATGGCACTGTGAATTTTACAAGCACTCGTTATGGCACTATTCCTCGTTATTTTATCAAAACATTGAGCAAGGACAAATTATTCCTTAGTGCAAATCAAGAAGATCTTATCAGAAGGACTCCACCTAAAGAAGTGCTTAGTATTGACTCAGATCACTCGCCATTCTTTTCAAAGCATGACCAGCTTGTCCGCCAACTTTTAGAAATTGCTAAAGGGTTATAACAAAGAATTAGGGGACATGTTTAATCTATTTTCATTTGTAACATTGAAAAACTCCATATTGTTGTTGCTCACACCATAGGTGGCACTTCCAGAAGGGTTATAAAATTGACAAAATTCCAAAACATCTATTTAGGTGTAAGTTGTTTGTCCTCATTGATCCAGGGAACTTTTGTTGCGGCTATTCTCAAAGTTGCATTTCAACAATGCAAATACACACAAAAATTGACTTGAATAATTCATGCTAATGCCAAGATCAGTAGAATTGAGCAAATGAAACTAGAAACTTCTGCAGGACATTGCATGAGTGTATATAACTGAGTTGCAAGAAAGAGAAGATATAAAGCAGTGTCATATGAGAATTAGGTGGTATACTGTATCAAATTCTAAGTTTGCTGCTTGGTTTATAGATTTGCCAACATATGAGTGTTATCTCCTTGGAGCAAGCATCTCCTTGAGCTCAATGCTCTTGAGCTGGTAATGAGTCTCTGTCTTAGCAAATTCATGTGGTACATGAGATGGTTTGATTGGTAGATCCTTCGGTACAATCAAATCCATGCCAAGCAAGACCTTGCAAAAGATCATCATTATGGTTTTTCCAATTGAGAAATTATAGTAAATTGATGAATCTTAATTGTAATTACTTATAATAAAAACGTTTTTTCAATTTATAAGTTTTAAAATATATGTATAATACTTAATTAAAAGGTAGAGTATTTTAAGTTTAGTGTACTCTTTCAACCAATACAAAAATAGAATAAATATTATTAGGGTCCTTTGTAGTCATTTGTCACAGTGGGTAGTCGTTCACTGAAGTGCAAAGCAACTCAAATGGGGTCTGTCCCAAAATTTACAACACATCACGTCCATAGCCATACAGAACGTTCACATCAAAACCGAGCACTACTTTTGATAGAAATACTCTCCACAGGTTGATAGAGATACTCTCCACACACCATACTGCAGTCATGCAACATGAGAGAGGCAAAGTGTTATGAAGTAAGGAAAGAAAGAGGTGTTGCATGCGGAATTTAATTAGGGACCTACGTGCTCGTTTCGGAAAACAGTCATCAAAATAATTTATCAGTTTATCAAAACATTTTATATTGAAAGTGGCCTTAATTCTCCCCAAGAGGGACCAGACTGCACTTTCACAGTAAGTGGTACTGCAAGAACCAAAACCAAAAGTTTGTGAATCCATAGCTGTTCAAAGTCACTACTACCTGTTAAACTTGTTGCCCCTTCCATGCACGCTTTGACAATAGCAGCAGCATCCGTGGCTATGGCCTCCTCCACTTCCAGCAAAAGCTCGTCATGGATCTGTCATTCCATGCCATGACTCCAAGGTAAAACCAAAAGAAAAGTACCTGAAGTAGTAATCTACATCGATTGTGGAGCATAGAGAAATGAATTGCTCTTGAGTTTCCCTGCGCGTCTGTGTATGCCAAAGTCTTATCGTTCTTTCCAACTAAAGCGGTGTGCAAATCGATCATTGCCATTTTTATAAGGTCTGCTGCCGATCCCTATTAGAAGAAACGACTAAGGCCTTGGAGGTTAAAAGTTTTAATGAAGTTACCTGGCAAATGGAGTTCACTGCTTGTCTTTCAGCTTTGGCCTGGTCACCCCGTTTGGAATCATTGATTTTCTCTAGATACCGTTTCCTACCTGCAAGCGTTTTTACGTATCTGGAATAAAAAAGGAAACACAGTAAGACTCAAAAACAACTTCAAAGTTTACATAACATACCCGTTGCGACGACAGCCATCGACTGCTTGTTGGAGCCAAGCATTGACTCCAGGAAACGCTACCTTGAATTGTTCGTGATATCTGCTAGCCTCTCCAACGGTGCATTCCATCTTTTCAGCCAAGCTACTGATGCCCATCCCATACAGGATTCCATACACCATCCGTTTCGTTCTCTCTCGCTGTTTATCCGTCACAGAGGTTTCAGGCTGGCTGGTCCATTTCGCCGTCATCATTCGAAACAGATCCCCAGTTGGCCTCCGAAGCAGCGAAAGCAGAGCTTCATCCCCAGAGAAGTGTGCCATTAATCGTAGCTCGATCTGCGAATAGTCAGCTGATAGGAAAACCCAGCCTTTCTGTACAAAGTAAGATAAGCCATCGTTTAAGTGGGAAAATTTTGAGATAATACCTGCGTAGGAACAAAAAACTGTCGAGCATTGACTTCGACTTCTCTCGGTTTCCCAGTAGAATGCTCCTCAAGCAAAAAAGTTATGGAATGCTCCACGCACTTCCTCACGATTTATAAAGTTTAGGAGAGGGATGAAAAAAATGTCGAATCTCTTACCTGAAGATTAGGATCTTCCATAGACAGTCTGCCAGTACCTGTGGAGGTATGAAGCCACTGTCCGTTTATATACTGAATGACATTGTCTGCATCCTTCAAAGACTTGTCAGCAGTGGAAATTACAGCTCCAATCGTAGTGTGCAAGAGTTTTGAAAGACTCCGATGTTCTTTGATTAAACTGACGACCGGATGTCGATCCCTGAAAAAAAATAAACGTCAGGAAACCCGTGTAACTAGAATAGTAACCATCACCTCAGTTGATCAAGGGCTTGCTTATCCGTACTAGGATGTTGTTTTCCCTTTGCACAGCCAGGAGGCACAGGTAGCTTCAAGTGCCTGTAGAGAAGGTCCGCAACGTCTGCCGGTAACGAAAGCGAGAAGTTCATTCCTGCCATGATTTGTGCCTTCGACTCGAGCTCTTTGAGTTTTGTCTCGAGAAGATGGCGAGCGGTAAAGCAGGACTTCATATTCACACCAATGGGACACTTTTCCATGTCCGACAGCACTCTCACCTGAAAAAGATCTGTTAGAAGGAAGCTTGGAATTCTCCGTAAGCTTACCATCGGCATCTCCAGCCGCATGAGTGGGTCATGGAGAGCTTCGGATAGCAATAATTTATACAGCACGGAATGCAGACCGCGGATTTGAGCGGCACGACGACAACAGCCATTGTGTGCTTCGTTTTTCATCTGGTTGGTCCATCTTCCTGCTCGGCTTGCAGCGGCAGCTACTTCACCAGGCAGACGCCTTTTCACTAGCTGTAAAACGAAACGGTGAGAACAGGCCCACACGAAAATAAGAATGCTAACCTGTTCTAGTGTCGAGGATGGATTGTTTTCTTCATCTGGCCATAGTAACCAAGCAGCTATCCGGAAGTCAATATACGGCGCCTCCATTAGCAGTGGACTCAGAGGATTTAGTTTGCTTCCAGCCTGCTGGAAGAATTGTATTTCACCTCGTTCTTGAGAAAAAGCTGGAGTATCGAGGGCCTTCATCTGTCCTTTCAAGTCCCAACAAAACTTGTGCACTCCCTTTCGAGAGAAAACGCTTGAAATCCTCCTCCAACTTTCTTCGACGACCCGAACGTAATATACTGGAGACTCTTGCCAGCAGACAGCAAATCCAAATATTTTGGAGAATGCACCTCGTTGGTCCTCAAAATGTAGATCGAAGAAGAAATCCTGAGACCCTTGCCAAGCCTGGAAAAAGGCTTCACGTGCAGTAGGTTCCATTTTCTCGAAGTCTACAGGCCCGTTGTCTAAGACTTCACACTTTTGAATCTGTTGAACGGGCTGAGCGTTGATATCTTGTTTGATGAGGCTGCCTCCAAACGCATTGGAGCCATGGTTACCATTTTCTTGCATATTTACTGGTCGGTTTTCCTTGTCAGTGCTATGAACGTCGGCCTTGCCCTCGCCTTGCCTTGGAGATATGGCCATCTCGTCCGTCTCAGCCTCAGGCCTCTGAACTCTAGCATATAAAGACTGCGACAGCGAATGCGGAATCGTTGCTCCAAGAGCTTGAAAGGCCGAGAAAGCAGCTATTCGCGCCTCTTCTGCTCGATCCAGGACAATTCTCCTTGCTCCGTTTTTTATTTTCTTTGCCGCTGCAGCATACATCCACTGCTGCTTACCAGCATCTATTACAAAAAGCTTGTGAGTAAAAGCATCCGATATTTAAGATAAGCCAACCTGCATGTCCTTTGAATGAAGAATCGGACAGCGCGTTTGCAAGTTCAGGAATTGTAGCCTCAGCTACAGCTTCAACTGTTCGTAAGCCCGCTTTGTATAAAGCTCTAGCTCGTGCAGCCTGTGAAAACATAAAACAAAGGTAAAACAATCTTAATTTCTATCGTTGAAACCATACCTTCACGAAGGGAATTTCTGTGAGCCCCACAATCTCCGCTCTCACGCCGAAAGAGACGCGATTCTGAAACTTCGATATTAATCCTTCCAAGTCATGCCATCCAAGTCTTTCACAAAACGTAGAGATCATAGCAGCAAATCGGCCAGAACTATCCTGAAGAGCTTGCACGGTGCCCCTCGGCACCTTGAACGTACTGCAGACGTCCATTAACGGCACTTCCTAGTGGCGAAACTTCAGTATTACGAAACAAAGGTCGACCATACATACCTGAACAAGCTTGGACAATATAAGAGCCACAAAAAAGCGTCTGTACACACGCAAGTTTTGATCCGCCTCGCTAGCCTTCTCACTACCTTTTATACTCCTTTTACGGCCCTGCATCGGTGCTCCATGAGCCATGCGCATCAGGGATGCCTCGGTCACCCCAACTCTGCTAGCAACTGCCTGTAAAATGCGAAAGCATTACAGTGTATATTTCTAGCTTTCGTCTATAAGAACCTGATCGACATGGGACAATTCGACAAATCTTTGATAGTAAACTCCCCAGTCCGGTTCAAGCTCCACGTGAATAGGAGTAACCTCGTAAACAAGGTGCAAATCTGACGCTAAAACAAAACTTTCACGGGCTTTAGCAAGATCCTCAAAGACAACCTGCATCCTCATAATTAAAATTCGTCATTGCCAGCAAAAACGAGCGAGAACGTACCAAGCATTCCTCCGGGCTGAGCGAACTGCCAAACGCTGCTTTTCCTAATGGAGTTATTTTGTAGATCTGTAACTCCTGATCCCACTCTATCAGTCGCTTGTGGCACAGCCATCTCAAAGAATCTTGAGCAGACTTCACGACGTCATCAAAAGGTTGTGTAGAGTTGAGAAGGGTACAGCGCACATAGCGGTTGACATCCTGTGCGCTTTGGACGATGCCACCAGCCACCACCTCCAAAAGAGCTCTCATCATTCCATTCTTTTCCTCGGCGAGACATGACTGCAACGGTTGACAACCTTCTTTCAGAATGGGAAGCATCCTACTGAGCTCCTCACTTTTACAGATTAATATCTGCAAAACCAACAGTCGGAAAATTTCAGAATACATAAACGGGAGAAGTCTTACACTCTCGCCATGCGTGTCTATCCCTGCTCTTCCTGCTCTCCCAGCCATTTGCCTGTATCTCGTCCCATCCAAAAAGTCCCGCCCAATTTTGGGAGTCCGAAAGATTACTCTTCGAGCTGGAAGATTCACACCAGCAGCAAGTGTCGAGGTCGCTGTTAATACACGAACGATTCCTTGTCTGTAGCAAGTTTCTACAACTTCTCTTTCCTCGGCCTGTAAGATCAAAGTAGAATACAGAGGTTGAAAACTTCAGACAGAATTACCGTGAGACCCGCGTGATGGTAGGCGACACCAGCCGGCAGGGTATCTCCCAGCACAGGGTCCAAACCCGCGGGGCACTTACGCAATATTTCAGCTGCTTCGGATCCATCTCTGTAGGTTGCTGCATTCCCTTGAGAAGACACTGAAAACTTTGGCAAATATTTTGCAACATGACGGGCAGTGGTTTCGCAGGCATGACGACTTGAACAAAACAAAAGCACAGAATGGCCTTTATTAACCACCTAGACAACAAAGAGCACAAACTGGAATCAGTAAGGCCTATGAAAGGGGTAAAACGCAGAAGTAACCTCATGGCACAGATGGACGATGTGATCTGGATCCTTGCCGCCAAGTTCAGAGCCTACTTTTAGAGCACGAACAGTATTCATACTAGTATCGTAAATGGTGTTCCCGACTTTAATGTGTTCGTCTAAAGGAACCGGGCGAAAGTTAGTCTCATAAAATGCAGCCTGCAAAATATCATCATGGTCTATAAGACTTGAATAAAAGATTGCAATACCTGAAGCCATGATGCAACGGCTGCTACATTAGGCATCGTTGCACTCATTCCTATAATTTGTAAGCTCGTTGGGCCGTCGGGGCTGCTGTTTTCACAGTCACCTTTACCGGCCGCATATCGTAGCTTGGTCAACAACAGTTCTAGCAAATAACCTCTTTCTTTATCTCCAACCTGCACCAGACTGTTATAAGAAAGATATTGGGATGTCAGTATCCATACCATATGAAGCTCATCTATAACTACAACTGCTAGTTCGGACAGCCGCCCATCCTCTACCAACTTATTGATGAGTGAGTTCGCTTTTTCGATGGTACAAACTGCAAGTGAAGTATCTGGAGGTAGCGTTTTAGTCCCGTGAGTCCCAAAATATCCACGGACACGCTTGCCAACATGTTCCAGTACCGCCTCTAAATGCTCTGTCTAGCAAAGCAAAAACCAGTTGACGTTTTGACAAAAGAAAACCAAGCGTACCTTCTCAGAACACAACGCGACATATGGTAAAACCAGCATTGCCATTTTCCCTGTCGCCAGCACTCTTTTTAACATCAAGATTTCTGCAACAAGACTCTTTCCTGCACTGTCAAAAGTTTTCAGGATTACCATAAAAGAAAACTAAATAAGAAATCTCAAGTACCTTGTCGAGGCACAGTAAACAAGACTTTTACCATCCAAAACTCCATCAAGGCGTAGACAATCAACCTGTAGTTTCTTGTAAGTAGGCAGTAAAATCACAAACAGTTAGCATACCTGCCATTGATACAGTCTTCTAACCCCCTTCCGAAAGTATCCTTCACATAATTCAGCCGGAAGCCAATCGGATAACTTCTCACCGGAGACTGAGGACGATGGATCGTTCACGATTGCCTTTCCTTCTTCAGTGGGAGCTGCAGCAGCTTCTTTGCCAATGTTGTCATGACTCGCAAAGTCGAAGCACACGACCGGTAGCGGAGAGTTCAATAAATTAGGACCGTCGGGGTTGATACGCGACTTCACTTCCGAGCAGTCACCTTTCTTGCTCCCAAGGACGCGTATTGCCTCGTCCCAGAAGCTATCTCCTGGTGATACATACTTGTTGTCGAGTAGCCAGTTCGGAGTCAGCTTGGGCTCGCCACCATTTCCAGCGCTTGCATGAGGAGTGCATGGTGGCTTCTTCGCACTGTGCTGAAAGGCCGGTAATTGTCTGTCGGCCATTTCAACCATTTCAGCCGCTCGTTCCACTTCGTTGCACTGAGAGGAATCGCCACAAAGCTTTGGAGAGACGTCCATCTTCTCGCTCTTCTCTTGCAAAACATCTCTAGAGGTAGCTGCTACCTTTTTTGTCGGGGAAACACCACTGAAACCAAACAGACGCATCAGCAGAAAGGAATGAAAGAAAAAAGATCATCGTCACTTACTGGAGACAGATCGCCAGGAACTCGTTCGCTATTTCTTCTCGTTTGCTTTCCTGTCCCTCCAACAATGCACTGAAAGCAGTGAGCTTATCTTCTGGCTGATTGTCGGGCTTGTGATTTTCCTCTTGCTTAATCTTCTTCTCCCGCTGTTCCTCGTTTTCCTGCCCGTGAATCGACGTAGAACACCTCTTAAGAGCGATGCGATCCTCAATCCGGTTGCAAAGACTCGTCCTCACGGAAGAATTCGCCTCCACGACGCTGCGCTTCTCCCGAGTAGCCTCGGCCACTGACACTGGACTCTTGTTACTCACAATGAACCCGTCCAGGCTGCATTTCCTGTGCGGCGACGAGTCGTCCAAGCTCGCCCTCCTCGCGACCGGAGAGATTGATTTCGCCGATAGCTTCTGCTTCTTCTTCGATTGGACCTGGAAGAACGCGCGCCTCGATCAGAGCTGCGCAATCCGGCGATCGATGGGTCGGACTCACCTGGTCAAGCCGCGCCTTGTCCATCAAGCCATGGAAGAATCCCTCGCCCTAGCCCTAGATCCGTTGGAAGCATAAAAAATATGCTTAGTTTCAAATTTTAAAACTGGCGCGTTAACGTTAGCGCCCGATTTCTACCAGTGATCGTTACAAGAGCACGCTCCATCTTTGTAAGAATGGAAGCGGCTCGCGTCCCTGCAAATTATCGCCCGCTGCTCGATCTTGGAGATCAATCCAATCGCCCTGTGGCAATCGTCGCATACTCTCAGATTCTTGGTCACTCTGATCGTCGCGCCTGGGGCCGTGTTGATGAGCGCGCAAGCGATCGCTAGCCTCTCGCTGTGCCCGCACAAAGCGTCCTCTTTCTCCTCGCTAGAAATCCTGCTGCTGGCGTTATTCAAGCTTCCAAAGTCTGGAACGTAGCCTTGGTCCTTCATTCTCAGCACAAGGCTGCTCAGCTTCGCCTGGATCTCGTCCCTCTGCGGATGATTCTTCTCTCCAGCAGCTAAAAAGGAGTGAACTCTTCCCGCTGGATCGACCCACCAGCTCTGTGCCGGCTCAAACTTCTTCCACGCTCGAGCTCTCGTTCTCATTGCCTCGACTCGGCTCTGCTCCTCCCACATTCCCTGGCTGCCGTAGATGCTTCCCATCAGCATATAGGCCGAGACGTCGCCCTCTTCCAGCTTAACCAGAGCCTCAAACGCGACCTTTCCTTTCTCCAAGTTTTTCCACTTCCGGCAAGAGCTTAAAACCGTCCTCCATGTCACAGAGTCCGCTTCGAAAGGCATCGTTTTCACCATTGCCACTGCCGCGTCTAGTTCGTTTGCTCTGGCCAAGATATCCACCATGCAGGTGTAGTGCTGGATCCCGGGAGTTAAACCATAGTCGGTGCTCATCATCTCGAAGTACCGTTTTCCCTGCTTAACCAGTCCCGCGTAGCTACAGGCTGTGAGAACGGATACGAAAGTGACCGCATTTGGTTGCAAACCTTCGTCTCGCATCTTCTTGAAAAAAACAAAGGCGTTCTCTGCGTCCCCTTGCGAAGTGTATCCAGATATGATCGAAGTCCAGGTGATGGAGTTTGTTTTGCAGAGTGTGTCAAAGAAGAGCTGAGCGTCATCGACCCTCCCGCATTTGCCATATGCATCAACGATACAGTTAGCTAGAACAGCATCGCTTTCGAAACCAAACCTGTAGATATCCGCGAGGACTGCTTTGACGTACTCGACAGCCACCACGCAGCTACAGGCCTTCAGAGCGGCGAGGAAGGTCCAAGCATTCGGTGTACAGCCCCGACGTTGCATGTCCTCGAAGAGATCCAAGGCCACCTTGCCTTCACCATTTTCAGCGTAGCCCAGCACCAGCGCCGTCCAGGACACCACATCGTGCAGTGGCATCTTGTCAAAAACTCTGCGAGCGTCTGCCGAGCTCCCACACTTGACGTAGAAATCCACCAGCGTGTTTGCGACGAAGTACTCCAACTCGAGACCACCTTTAGCAGCTTCGGCGTGTATAGCCATTCCTCTCTCCAGTGAGCGAACTTTTACTTCATGTTTGCCCGAAAGTCGCACAGCCTCCTCTTTTGATGCCAGACTTGTGCAAGCCTTCACTGCAGCAACGTAGCTCCGAGCGTTTGGCTGACAGCCCCGAGCTTTCATCTCCTGGAATAACTCTAGAGCCGACTCTGGTTCACCATTGTCACCGTGTCCCACCATGACTGAATTCCAAGTAACGACGTCCCGCTGCGTCATACCGTCAAAAACTCTCCGGGCTTCTTTCAAGCTCCCACATTTCGCGAAAAGATCCACTGCCGCATTTGGAACAAAAATGTCCGAGTCACAGCCGATCTTCACAGCTTGGTCGTAAATCGTGAGACCCTTCTGCAAAGATCCGATTTTTAGAGCTTTTCCACCCAGCTCCTGACCCTGTTCTTGACTTGCGAGAGCGCTGCAAGCTTTCAGAGCCGCAACAAAAGTCCTGGCATTTGGAACGAAGCCTTTCCTTTGCATCAGTCCAAAAGAATCCAGAGCCATACCTCCATGCCCGTTGTTTGCATAGCCGAATATCAGCGAATTCCAGGAGACCACGTCTGGACGAGCCATTCTATCAAAGACCCTTTGGGCATCCACCATGCTCCCGTGCTTGGCGTACATCGAAACCAAGCTCCCGGCAACGTAAACATTCGTGTCCAGCCCTCTTCCAGCAGCATCTCTGTGAATCCTCCTCCCGATGTCCAAATCTTTGCACGATTTCAGTGCTGCCACAACCCGCGATACCTCGGATTGCCCTGCCGGAGGCGAAATAAATCTCCTCACCAGAACGAAGACAATCCATCCAACACGCGCATTGGATCTCGATCGAAGCATCGATATTTCGCTCAGCCATAGCGATCGATTGCTTACATTTTCGCAGCTCCAACAAAACCCTAGAAATATTTCATTCCCTCGCTAGGGTTTAAGCCAAGGATATTCTACCACGTGGCAGATAGGGGCCGTCGGATCTCGATCGCGAGCCGTACAAGTGTGCCCCATTTGCTGGCATATCGTTTTCGAAATTCCTCGCATATCTTTGAGAGACTCTCATGTTGGTTCTTCGCCTTTGCATAATTGACAAAGGTACACACTACGCACAGACCACTTGCGAGTAAAAAAGATTTACCTGCAGTGGTAGTAGCTAAAATGATAGACACTCTCTTTAAATATGCTGCTGCCTAGCTCTCTTTTTGTGTCACAGAGGAAGAGTGGTGTTTTGGATTTTACAAGCCCTAGGGTTTGGGAGGAGCTCCGCCATGGAATCCTCGGCGGACAGCAGCAAAATCCCGTCGCTCGTCTCCCTGACGGCCGCAGCGATCGTCGGCGCGAGCTTCATGGCGATATCGGCCTACTGGATGCATCAGAGATCCATGGAGCGGCTGCTGGAGCGCGGATTGGAGCGCCGGAAGCTTGGCAAGGAGGATAAGGTGAGGCGCTCGCAGTGTAGGCGATCCAAGACGGTGGTGGAGGCCAAGAGCTACGAAATTTTGGCTGTGGAGACGGGGACCGTGGCCAACGGGCTCACGAATCACTCCGATTCGAAGCTCGTCTCCTCCACCTCCCCGTCCGTGTCCGATCACGATGAGAAGATCGAAAAGGCTGCATTTGACCACAGTGCCTGCGCGATCCCTCCTGGATTGCCCAAAGTCAAGACCAAACGTGAAGGTCAGTGCTTTCCTTTTCTGTTACTGCAAATCGATCAAGTCTTTTCTTGCTAGGCTCTTGCCAGTCTCTTCACTCTGCTAGAAGAGCTACTCCTTTGGGGAATTCCGTGATGCGCTCCTCTCCTACGGCAAGTAATGGTGCTTTTGGAAGTATGGAAGAATCAGACAATGAGAGTGATCTCGGCGAGGATGAAGTTGCTGTGGATGGTGTGACTCCCGAGCTATCGTCTCCGAGAGATAATGCCGTAAGTTTCCTTTTTTACTTTTGTCAATGTTTTTTCTTTCTTTTTGCTTGCTTTCTACCAGTGATGAGTTCTATGCTGTTGTAATCAGGTTGAGCCTCCCGCGGGCGCAGTTGTGAGCGACACTTCGGAGCAGCAGAAGGCCATGAATCGATCGATCAGTATCCCGGGAGAGATGCATCACGCACCGGATCCTGTTGCTGCCGACATCCTCCGAAAGGAGCCAGAACAAGAGACTTTTGTTCGCCTCAATGTGGCTCCAATCGGTTTGTTTTCGAAGGTTGATGCGAGCGTTTTTAACACTTGGTCGTTATTCTAGACGCTCCTTCGGACGAGGAAGAGGAGGTTTGCCTGATGATGCAAGAGTGCCTAGAAATGCGAGACAAGTACGTGTTTCGGGAAATGGTGCCTCCCTGGAAGAAGGGGATCTTTGACTCGTCAACACCCAAAGCAAACCCGGATCCATTTCGATACGAGCCTCAAGCTCCCAGCAAGGTTCGAAACACGATATTTTACGTACTGTATTTGATTTTGTTTTTATTATATAGCACGTTTATCGCATGGAAAACGGAGTGGTCCATGTCTATACGGATGCTGATGGTACTTACTTTCTTACCAACTTTTCCTTGCAACTAAGGTTTTAATAACTGTGTAATCAGCCAAAGAGGAACTCTTCCCGGTTGCTGATGCTACAACCTTTTTTACTGACATGCATAGGATACTTCGAATCGTCTCACTCGGCAATGTTCGAACTCTCTGCCACCACAGGCTTCGTCTCCTAGAGCAGGTATGTTGTATAAAAGTGCTTTGATATTATGGTTAAGTTTATTCGGTTCCCGGGATGCAGAAATTTAGTCTGCACTTGATGCTTAATGCAGATCGGGAATTCTTGGCTCAAAAGAGTGCACCACATCGTGACTTTTACAACGTTCGTAAGGTTGACACTCACGTTCATCACTCGTCGTGTATGAATCAGAAGCATCTCCTGCGTTTTATCAAGTCGAAATTGAGAAAAGAACCTGATGAGGTGAGATTGTTATTTTCTTTTGACTTGCTAACACCATTTTTTGTGGACAGGTTGTTATTTTTCGTGATGGGAAGTATCTTACGTTGAAGGAAGTTTTTGAAAGTCTAGACTTGACAGGGTAATCTGCAAGTTTTCCACTCCGATTTTCTAACTCTCGGTTTTCTCAGTTATGACCTCAATGTGGATCTTCTAGATGTACATGCGGACAAAAATACTTTCCATAGATTCGATAAATTTAACTTAAAATACAATCCTTGTGGGCAAAGTAGGCTCCGAGAAATATTCTTGAAGCAGGACAATCTGATTCAAGGTATGTTAATTTCTCCGCCTATTCTTTCTTCTTTTTTTTTCCATCATTACGCTTGCTGGTTTACAGGACGTTTTTTGGCCGAGTTGACGAAGGAAGTCTTCTCCGATCTTGCTGGCAGCAAATATCAGGTTTTTATTCGCTTACCTTCATGTGTCAATCTGAGCTTGTGTACAAATGCAGATGGCAGAATATAGGATCTCTGTTTATGGCAGAAAACAAAGCGAGTGGGATCAATTAGCAAGCTGGATTGTGAACAACGATTTGTATAGTGAGAACGTCGTCTGGCTAATCCAGGTTTGCGAATTATTCACTCGTTTGTCTTCTACATGCTTTGCGTTCATGCAGCTTCCGCGCTTGTACAATGTTTATTATGATATGGGCATTGTTACCTCTTTTCAGTCAATTCTTGACAACGTTTTTATACCGTTGTTCGAGGTCACTGTGAATCCCGATTCACATCCTCAACTCCATGTGTTTCTTAAGCAGGTATTACTTTGTGTTCATCTCGAACTAGAGCTTAATCACTGAACTTTATGCAGGTTGTCGGTTTTGACATGGTGGACGATGAAAGCAAACCCGAAAGACGGCCAACTAAGCATATGCAGACTCCCGAACAGTGGCAAATTTCTTTCAATCCAGCATACTCGTACTGGGCATATTACGTGTATGCCAATCTCTACACACTTAACAAGGTAAGCTTTTCTTAGTTTTCTCTTCAATACGTTCGAACTGTGCTGTTGTAGCTACGAGAGTCGAAAGGAATGTCTACGATCAAATTCCGTCCTCACGCTGGCGAGGTATGTTCTGATGAGACTAGGCTCGCTATGCTACTCTTACCTTGCCTACCCAGGCTGGAGATGTTGACCACCTTGCCGCAGCTTTTCTCTTGACCCATAATATCGCCCATGGAAATAATCTCCGGAAGTCGCCGGGTCTACAATATTTATTTTACCTCGCTCAGGTTTGTCTTGGTATCTTTGTGGTTGGTGACTGAGTCTTGTTTCAGATCGGCTTGAGCATGTCCCCTCTGAGTAACAACTCTCTTTTTCTGGATTATCATCGAAATCCGTTTCCAATGTTTTTTGCTCGCGGGCTGAATGTTTCACTGTCGACGGATGACCCTCTACAGATCCATCTTACTAAGGAACCTTTGGTTGAAGAATACAGTATTGCAGCTCAGGTTTTACTGGTTTTTGTTCTTTTGATTGTAATAACTCAGCTAACCAGTACCATCTCGCAGGTTTGGAAGCTTAGCTCTTGTGATATATGTGAGATAGCTCGGAATTCGGTTAACCAGTCTGGCTTCGATCATGGAGTGAAGGTGTACTTTTTGTTGCTATTATTGTTGCCTTGTGCCTTGACTTGTCCGAGTTAACTGCAGTGTCACTGGCTTGGGAACAACTGTCACCTTCGAGGACCTGCGGGGAATGACATTCATAAGTCAAATGTTCCACATATGCGAATCGAATTTCGGCATGAGGTATGGAGCTCCAGAGGCTTGTGTTGTGGCAACGTCTTTCTTTCCTGCAGGTTTGGAAAGAGGAACTAAATTATGTCTTCCTTGGACAAACCAAAATTCCAAACTACGTGGATATTTGAACGAGGGTAGCAGGTTTGGCTTTGCCAAGGATATCTTTTTTATCATTTCGGCCCCTGAGAGTGGTTATTGTACAGGCGTATAACTAGGACAGGAAGAGAGAGCCTTCTGGGCCTATACAACGCAAATCTTTTTTTTTTTTAATTTATACTTTACTCTTTTCAGGTTAAGTTATCCGTGCTTTGCTTACATGATGAGCGTTTATGCGGTGACAGGTTTCCTGACCTTTTCAACCGATCAACACTCTTAGCAGTTTTTGCAGAAGAGCCTACGTGGTCGGTCATTTTCTACTGTCGTCCAATTTGTCAGTGGCTACGAGCTCCAGTGCTACTTTCTCAGAATCCAGACTGTCTTCGTCGGCAATAATCGATTTGTATCTGTACCAGCGAGCGCAAAACAGGAATATGACGAAGTTTACTGCAAACAGCACGGCCTGCAGCCAGTAGAAGTAATCAAGGTGGCCTTTGTTGAGGTTGTTGCTGAGCCAGCTTACTCGTCCCCCGCGGGAGGTCTCTCTGTTAACAACAGTGACGAGAATACTGCTGAGGTAGCTACCCAGCGCAGTGATGCTCGAAAACAACGCACTGGCAAGGCTGCGGAGATGCTCTGGAAACTGATCGTAGAAGAACTCCAGATGTCCGATGGATACGAAAGACTCGGACATGCCGATAAGGATGAACTGTGGCGCCAGCCAGAAGGCAGAGAAAGGAACCGTTCGGTGGGGGTGGTCCAGGAGTCCGGCATTTAGTGCTGCCTTTCTCCGAGCTCCTTCGGCAAACGCCGCAACTACCATGGCCATTATAGAGATGAAGAGGCCGATTCCGATTCTCTGCAAGAAAGTAATGCCGCGCTCGTGGCCCGTGACTTTTCTGGCCAGCGGCATGAAGACCCGGTCGTATAGTGGAACGCAAGCGAGCAGTGTCAGGATTCCGAAGACGTGGAAAGTTGCAGGCGGTATGACGAAAGAGCGCAGGTGTCGGTCCATACTTCTGGCTTGCTGGATGGTGAAAGTGTTTTGGAGGCCGTGAGCTAGCGTGAAGACTATGCCAGTGGCCCATATAGGCGAGGTTCTTATGATGCATTTGAGCTCTTCTACCTGCTGGACGGAGCACAGCCTCCATGGCAGAGGTTTACCGTCTTCGAAGTCTTCATCGGCTGGACAGGCCGACTTGTCAAGGAACCTGGGAGAGAGAGGCGAAGTCAGACTTTTTACGAAGAGCAGAGAACGTCACCTGAATTGGTCCGTGTGTTGTAGACGAACTCCAGTTTCGGCTTCAACGTTGTGAAGGTGTGCGGGATCTTCCGGCAGGCTTAATCTGCGTTTTCGATATGCTGCGGCTACAACTTGGAGTAGCCTGATGAAGGGACTTCCATTTGGTGCAACGTGCCGGTACCATGGCGAGCCGACGAGAAAGAAGATGACGGATATGACCATAGCAATGGCAGGGATTCCGAAACCCCAGGTCCATCCGACGTGCTCCTGGACGTAGACGATGACTGTGACGGACAGAAGAATGGCAATTCCCAGGCCGAAGAAATACCAGTTGAAGAAGCTGAACGACTGCTTTCTTTGCTTCAAGTTCTTCTGATCGAACTGGTCTGCTCCAAACGCGGCAACGCAAGGCTTGATGCCTCCGGAGCCAAGCGCGAAGAACGCGAAGGAGATATAAAGGAAGGCCTTTTGAGCTGACGACGCCGGTTGACAGGCTACTTCTTTGGCAACGTTGCAATGCGGCGGCCGGAGGGATGAGAAAGTTGCATCGATTGTGAGCATCACAATTCCCTGAAACGCGAGGACAGGTAAAACTTTCAATGATTTGGTGTACGATAAAAAGTTCTACTTTTCTGTGACACAGATTACTCACAATGGCATATGTTAGAGAGCCGATAATGATCGTCATGTATCGGCCCAAGTGAGCATCCGCAACGTACGCACCCAGCAGCGGAGTGATGTTGTTCAAGCCATTGAAGTTAGTCAGAGTCACAGCCGCCTGAACATTGCTCATGTTGAGCTGTTGCACGAGGTACGTTATAAGATTTACATGAAGTCCGATCATTGCCAACTTCTCGGAGATCTCATTCCCTGCAGGCACAGAAGAACAGTTTGGAGTGAGCCAACGAGACAAGTGTTTACTGTTGTATTTGTGCCTGATCACGTGTTTTCTGCAGGGGCTTTGGGAAACATAACGACAACGCACCTATGATGAAGGGGGTAGTTTTCCAGCCCCCCTTGTTCCTCGTCACGGTTTTCAAGCCGTCGAGCTGCTCGTTCTCTGTGGCACTTCCTTGATCAGATGGAGTTCGCCTGTTGAATCTCCGAACCACAAAACCAAGAGGTGAGCAGCATTTCCAGTACACTTGCTGGCCATGCTCCATTGTGACGTCTTCGCTCTTTCCAGATCTTTGGAGAGATCCTCGGCCTGCGTGTCAGCAACTTGTTAGTAGCGGCGGGCATTGTTTGCAACGGGAACATCAGGAAGAAAACACTCCGATACTTGAGACTCTCGGACTCTCTCCTCGGAACTAGAGCAGCAACATCAAACAGACTCAAAACAAACTCAGGCTCAGACGCAGAGAATGCAAAACTTACACTTACCGCCAACCGCAGCAGGCACAGAGCTTTAGCTCTCGACGAGGCCAACTCCACTTGGAAATATCTCTCTCGCAAAAGACTTCAGCAAGTAGCTCATCGGACGTCTAAGCAAAATACAACTGGAGCAGGAGCCAAAGGCTAGGCAAACAAGTGCGCTGCTAGCTGGGCTGTGGCTGGACGAGAAACAAGAGGAAGCGACAAAAGGGAAGAGGCGGCCTGGCAAAAGCGCGAAAGACAAAAACAACCAAATGAGCCGCTACTGCGACTACGATCTGCAAGCTGAGAACGCGGCCATGAATGAGAATGGTGGGGACGCCGAATGGGAATAGATCAACTTTAAATGCGCCAGACAGGGAGCAGCCTCTCGCCGCGGCTTTCGTCCAGGAAAACTTGATCACCCACCATCGCTCAAGGTAATTATGATTCCCGATATCCGCATTTAGCCGCTAATCAATCTCTTGGCCTGTCTGTCTCGTTCGTGCAGCGGCAGCACAGCAGCACAGCAGCACAGCAGGCTTTTGTGCTCTTGTTCGGTTCGGTTTTTAATAACGCAGAGAAGAGAAGAGCCATGAACTTGCAGATACTGCGGCGTTTATAGCCTTCCTTTGAAAGCTTCACATTCGATCCAGGTTCTTTAATTTTTCTTTTTGCTTATTTGCCAGCAGCCACTCATTCGTCTCGCTCTTTCAGATTTAATGCAGCGAACCTGTGCGTCATCGCGCAAAAGCTATACGAGCTTTTCCATCGCTGGAAAGCTTTTAGCTGCACTTCCCGAAAGATTCACTCTTTCCTTGTTTCGCTGTGTACCACGCCAGGCGTCGCTCCACCTCGTGGCTACAAGTGCGTCCGGTCAATTTGGCAAGAGCATTGCTTTTCCTCTTTGGCCACGTTGATAAGGCTGCAAACGCTCTGTCCAGTTTTTCGGTGGGCGTAAAGGAATATTCTGGTCATGGCCGGTCAAAGTAATATAGTTGACCAGATTGTGGTTGGTCAACGCCCTTTGCAGTTATCTAATTAATTGCACCGTACAAATTGTATGTCTCGCAGCTTGGTTTTTATTGATTTGATTTCCAAACTCGCATTGTCTTCTCTTCGTCCAGATGCTGTTACTGAGTCTCATCAGCAGGCGTTCGAGGAAGTTATTGTCGAACAGATAAAAAATTATCTCTAAGAAACTATGTTGGAAGCTGCAAAAAGAGTCGCTGGGTTTTAGCTGTAGGCATGCGTTTAGTGGCTTCTCAGTAAACCTGTTGTGCTTGCCCAGATCTTTAGATCGTGTAAAAGTTCGTGGAAAAATAGTTGCCTCATACATTGACTAATTGTTACCAAGGCGGCATCTTTTTCATCCTCGGTCCAAATCTCGTGCATTATACCCAACCAGAGCTAGCGTTGGTTGACAAAGAAGATTAATAACGGTAACCGAAACTTGTCAACTCGTGCATGTATATAATTTGTCACTTCGTGCGTGCAATGTTCTTAATATAAGTAATGCTTGCATATCACCAAGTAAGAGGTTTATGGAAGATCCGTGCTCTTAAGCTCGTTTATAGACAAGGAACCTTTAAAGGAATAGGAATTGGATCTTTAAAGCAATAGGAAGCATCCACAACACTTTCGCCTCCAACTTGTAGTATGAAAACAAAAAGATGAGGCAGGCATCACATGCTTTTGTCTTGTGTTAACTATTCTGAAGAATGTAAAACGAATTTCCTCATATCCTTATATATGGCTGCAGTTGTGAATCATAGGATCATAACCTACAATGGCTCAGGCAGAGAATGTAGGCAGTAGTAGCTTCTGCAATTGGCTTCACCCCTCTCTGACAGGTATTCTCTTCTCGCTGCTTCTGCCCACAGCAACAGTACTCCTGCTTCTCGCGCATTCTTGTCATGGATCCGACGATGAGCATTTCTACCTCGACCTCCCATCCAGAGAAGGTTTTGCATGCCCCGAAGTAAACAGCTTTGTGAACGAATTCGATCCGTTCTACAGATGGTCTCTGCGTTCTTCCCTTGCCAGTGTCCTCTCCACAACAAGTGGCATCGAAATTGAGCTCGCCAATTCCGCCTACCAGCAAGCTAGTGCATGGAGAGTGATCAGCAACTGGACGAGTGATGAGGGAGCCAACAAACTGTACGCCTCGGCCGAGCCCCACATTGCAGGTGGTCACATGAAGCAGCACCGGCGCAACTGGCAATGGAGAATGCGAGTGGACTGGGGCATCAGCATCCGCATGTGCCTATCCACTGGTAATGCCCAGAGCAATCGGTCATGCCTCTGGACTACCCCCATCCTTCAGATGGAAAGAGAAGCGGATCTCATCCTGCTCTTTATTGCTGTACCTTACAGGGCTGCAACTGCACCCAGCATTGAACCAGATCTGAACAACATGCCGCGTAGCACATCCGGATTCTACCTTTCCAACTACGCCAGCAATGCAAGGACGGACTTCACCAAGTACCAGAAGATCAACACCTCCAGCCACTATTATCTTACGAACACTAAGGATGTACCAAAGTGTCGGTTTGCCCCATCTTACTACAGCAACGACGCCACAGCATACCTCGGGTTTCCCAGCCTCCAATGCGGCTGCTCCAATTCCTCCACCAGGGTATGTGTCGTGGTCACCAGGAACATGGACACCAGCAGCTGGGGATTGTTCGACTATCGTTCCTCCTGCGATTTGCTGACGTCTTACTGGGCTTGGAACACCGGCGGAAACACTTGGCTTGTTCTTACCGTACACAACGCCTCATCTGACAAGCCTATACCATTTCTTGCAACCTTTAAGGGGAATACCTCTCTCGGGTCCTCCCTCACTGGGGTTACAGCGAATGACTTCCAGGCCATGGCGAACACAACAGTCTGTGTGGAGGCATTGATGCAGCAAACACCGGTGCCATCCAGTGTGGAGGTTCAGAACAGGTGCAGTACTGATCAGCTGGTATTAAGCACTGAAGACGGTGAGTACTATCTCAACAAGATGAGACGGTTCCTCTGGGCTCCCACTCCCCCCCAGAACAAGATCAGTACACCCTGTTTCGGAGATCTGCCTATGGGACAGCTCGAGTTCAAGGACAAGCTATGTGTGACCAAGCTGGACACTGCTATCAGCACAGAGATTAAACTGATGGTCGAATCCATGTTACATCTCAGAGACGTTAAGTTCAAGCAGAACAAGCTGTGGAATGATGGATCAAACAACAGACACGAAGTCTATGGCGGGATTTTGTCAGCGATTGTGTCCTTCGTGGGAACATGTTTCTTGGCAACGAGTAACAAGTTGCAGGATATTGAAGAGTCCTTTGAGAAATTCTGGCATCATGGTGGCGCCGTTGGGGACTCCAACACCGACGGCCAGGCTGCTCAGTCAAGCAAGGGATCAGTTTTTTCAAGCCAGGACCCCATCTTTTGGTTTAAGTTCCTTTATAGGACGCTCCTCGTACTCGCTTTTGCAGGTAATTTGACCTCTTCTTGCCACAAGTTGATTCACTAAGTTCATATTTTGTGCAGTTTTACTGTCATATACAGCATATAGTAGCGTGCAAAGTGTAAAGAAGGACCGGGACATCTTGCAAGCGCAAACAGTACCTCAGGTCCTCAGTGATGGTACCGTGGTGTTGCTCACCACCACAGCTACGTACGAGGTGAAACCCTTGTGGGCCAGCTTCTATGTTATTTCTGTTCTTACGGCGCTGGCTGTGATAATCACACTGGTCGTTACATGGCGTCAACTTAAAACACTGCCGGCGAAAGAGAGCAGTGGAATGGAATGATTCACTAATCATAACCGTCTTTGAAGATTTTGGTGTCACTAAGTTCTGCCGGTTAATTGCCCCAAGATAAAGGAGAAAGCGATCAAGCCTACAATGGATGTCAACACTGTTCTGGTCTTACGGTGCTGGTTGTGATAATTACAGTGGTCATTGGAGGTAAAAAAGATCAGAATATTACCGTCTTTGCATCACTAAGGGCTAACTAAAGTTGACCAGTGCAATAAAGGTCTGACCAGTCAGCAGGGTGGCAATGGCGGTCAACGGTCAAGGAACGTCAATCATCTTTTGAAGAATAGTGTCCAGCTTACCAGAAGCAAACCGGCGCCCTTGATAAACACAAGCCGAATCATCGTCTTCCATCTCCAGTCCTCCCAAAACCTTGGCAACCCCGCGATCAATCGGCAACCCCGCGGCAGCAAACACATTGGACAGCACCACGTACGTGGCCGAGTCTTCTGGGAAGAGCGCCATGGCGGCCTCGCCCACCCTCTCGGCGCACTCCACGTCCCTGTACACCGCACACGCCCCCAGCACGGACTTGCACGCCACCAGGTCGGGCTCGAACGGCATCCCGCGCAGCAGCTCCTCGGCCCCGGCCACCTCACCGGACCGCCCCAGCGTGTCGAGCATCACTCCAAAGTGCTCGCAGCTCGGCCAGATCCCAAAGTCCGACACCATCATCTGGAACTTCTCCACGCCCCGCCTCACCGATCCGGTGTGCGTCGCCGCCACCAAGATCCCCGTGAAGGTGATGTCGTCCGGGGTGACGCCCTCCAAGTTGAGCTCCCGGAAGAACTCCTCGGCCTCGGGGCCGTGGCCGTTCGCGGCATACATGACGATGAGCGCGTTCCAGGAGGCGATGTCGGTCTTCTCCGGGGTGGCGTCGAAGATAGCCTTCGCCTTTGCGAGATGCCCGTGCTGCGCGTACGCGACAAACATCGCGTTCCAAGAGATGAGGCTCCGCTCGGGCATCGAGAAGAACATCGCCTCCGCCTCGGCGAGCTGGAAGTTCTGCGAGTAGGCCACCATCATGGTCGTCCAGGAGATCACGTTACACCAGGGCATTCGATCCAGCGCTGCCTTAGCGCGATCCAGCCGCCGGCTCTGTGTGTAGGCGTGGATCATCGCGTTCCAGGAGACGAGGTTCTTCTCTGGAATCCGATCAAACTCGAGCTTCGCCTGGTCGATCTCGCCGTGCGCGACGTAGCTCCGGCACAGGATGTTCCACGCCACTACATCCTTCACGGGCATCGATTCGAAGCACCGCCGAGCATCTTCCAGATGCCCGTTCTGGGCAAATGCCGTCGCCATGGCCGTCCACGAGACAACGTCGCGGTGCGCCACCTTCTGAAAGATCTCTTTCGCCTTGTCGATCATCAGGGACACTCCATAAGCAGTGATAAGGGCATTCCACGAAACGATATTCCTGGTTCCCATTCGATCAAACAGATCCTTTGCTTCCACAAGACGCCCGTTCTGGGCATACCCCTGGATCATCGCGGTCCACGAGACGAGATCTCTCTCCGGCATCGTATCAAACAATTCCTTGGCGTGAAAGAGATCTCCACTCTCGGCAGTGGTCGCGACCATGGAATTCCACGACAACCGGCTCCTCGCGGGCATTCTCTCGAAGAACTTCTTCGCAAGATCCAAATGCCCATTTTTGGCAAGTGTTGTCACCATTGTGTTCCAGGACGCAAGATCCCGCTGCGCCATCGCCAGGAACATCGCCCTGGCGCGATCGACGTACCCATTCCTGGCATATATCGCGACCATCGCGTTGGAGAGCACCACATCCCCGTCGCCGATGGATTCGAACAGGGATTTGGCCCTCTCCAGATCGCCATTGCGCGCGTAGGCGACGATCATCGTCGTCCAGTGGACGGCGCTGCGCTGCGGGGTCCTGGTGAAGAGGAGCTCCACCTCGTCGATCCGGCCGCTGGCGGCGGACGCCGCGATGGCGATGCCCCAGGAGAACTCGTTCTTGTGCTGGATCGCGTGGAATGCCCGGCGCGATTCCTCGGCGAGCCCGAGGCGGCCATACATCTGGACCACCGCATTGGCCACGAATCGATCGCCGCCATAGCCACTGGCGATGATCTGTGCGTGGATCTTCCTGCCCACCGCGGCGTCGCCGGAATCCCCAGCCGCGCGGAGCGATTGGACGAAACGCTGGCATTCCACAAATTTGCCCTTGTCAATGCAGGGCATTTGCTAGGAATATATTTCAAGCATCATCATCTTTTCAGTTTCCTCTCTTCTGCTAATGTTTCTTTTCAGCTTGCAAAGATCTGATGCTGGAATATCAACAAGAATAACCTTTTTGCCAGTTTTCTTCCTAGATTGCCATCCAAATCTTTTTCACGGGATGTTCCAGTTCGTCAGTGAAGCAGCAAGCCAGCAAAGTCTTTGTCACGTCTAAGCTTTTGGGTCCGTAGCCTACGCCAAGACAACTTCTGGCAACCCGAAGATGATCACGCAAACTCACATTGCAGTCTCTCTCCAGGTGGAACGAGATCATTACAGCGAATGCATCAAAGAAAAGCAAACGCTGTGGCTTCCACCTTGGTTCCTAAACTGCCCAGCATGGGAAGGAATCCTTTCTGCAAAGATGCAGTGCTTGTCCTGCGTAGCAGCTCCGATCCACTCGCGTGAACAATCGCGCTTCCACCGTTGTACACTTCACGTTTTGAAGCCACGGATTTACAAACACCACCACCTCAAACCACATAGAGTTCAGTAATCTCTTGTTACTACTATGTCTTTCTGGGTCGATATCCGCAAGACGCTGCCATCTTTTTCTCCGGAGTCCTGACAGATGTGGAGGAGACGCTATTACCCAGCCAACGAGCTGATGAACTCTGCCAAGTTATGCCCTGAGCTGCCCGGCTGGGTGGAGAGTGCAGCCTGTCGGACCAGCTTCCTCCTTTGCTTGGCACGGTTCCTGAGCTCTTGGTCCTCCATTACAGCACGCAAGCCTCGCTCGACGTCATCTGCGGACGGCACACCATCCACCCCAATATCCACCGCAATTTTGTACTCGTCCACAAGGTGCCTGCAGGTTGGGAGCTGGTCACCTAAGAACGGCCAGGCCAGAATGGGAACACCAGCCAGCAGAATACACTCCACCACGGAACTCCACCCGCAGTGTGAAACTAGTGCACCAATGGCCGGATGAGAGAGAACCAGCTGCTGAGGCACCCAACCTGTGAGGATTTTCCCCCTACCGGAGGTTCGCTCCGCAAAGTTTGGAGGTAGCACGCGGTTCAGGTAGGCGGCCGGCTCCTCATTCCTGGGACTTGGAAGCGACCAGAGGAATGCAAAGCCGGACGATTCGAGTCCGTGTGCCAGCTCTCGAATCATCTCATCGCCCAAGACTATAAAGCTGCCGAAGCATATGAGGACCAGCGACGCCGTGGGTTGCTTGTCCAGCCATGAGACAAGCGCCGTGGAATCCTCGCTGTTCTTGCCGATTGAGACCGCTGTTCCTCGAATGTCTTCTTGAGAGGGTCGATCGTCCTGGAGGTAGGAAGATGGATACAGAGGTCCTACGGGAATGCACCGTATCTCGGGGTACTCGCAATGCAAAGCATCCAATATCTGCACGGACACGTGAGAAATCACCCCCCACTAAATGCCCGTCTTACTGGTCCTTCAAGCTCTTCGGAAGTATTCAGTAGTATCCCGTTGGAGTGGACAAAATGCTTGGCTACGCCTTCTTTACCCAAGTAGATTCTGTAAACAAAGATCACGGAAACAAACAGAAACATAGAAAGAATGATACCCATGGGATTTGACGACAACGTCCAAAGGTAGCTCAGCCCATCGAAGAGGTGGAAGTCCGGGAACATGAACTACGCTCTGCATGTCTTGGTCCACATTCCCGCTTCGGCTGGGGCCGTGGAAGGAGAGCATGACAGCGAGATGCGCCGAAGCACCTGTGTAGAGGATATACTTTGGGATGCCTCTCTCCTCCACAGTTTGACTTGCCCAGAACATCACCATTCGATCGAGAACCACCGCTTTGGGGCGCAGCACATCGAGGTGTTTCCGGAGCGAGTCAGGCAGGGCAGTGGGAAAACGGGATGATGGCACAAGGTCGGGACGAGACTTGCGAACTCCAGGGAAAATGAAAGCCGGTCGAGGGGAAGGAGTGGACTCCATGAGAGCGCGCATTTCAATGTTTGCTATGTCCGTGGTCATTCCAGATGGGTTCAGCCACGGCAGTAGCACCGTAACACGGCAGCCCTGAGAAGCGAGCTTCTTTGCAAAGAGCATACCTGTGTTGAAGTGACCACCGCCTTGAACGGTAACCAAAACGATGTTGGCCATTCTAGATAGCCGACCTTGTCGGCCTTATCCTAACCAAGCGCTCCTGTCAGACTCCTGTAAGACTCACATATCTAGACTATTTTGATGAACTTGACTTGTTGTTAGCCAAGGGTTTCGTCTAGCACTATTTTCATGCTTTGTTTTTTTTCCACGTGGCCAGTTCAGCTATGTAAATTTAAGATGCCGGTCGAACGAATATGCCAGTGTGATGCTTCTTCTTCACACAATGAACAGTTAGATCTCTGATTCGCAGGCTAGAGAGATTCGAGCCCCAGCGGCGCAGCTGGCGTGTAACGTATGATCCACCAGCGAAATACAGTTAGAGAGAAGAAGTCACGGACTTAACCGTGGGGAAGTGCTCGAATTGCTTGTGGAGGCGCTTCCAAGCTCCCTCGCTATAGTCACCTGTAAGAGATTTTTGGGACATCGCTTGCAAGCTCTCGACTGAGTCTCACATTTTTGGAATCCGGAAGCTTCAGCAGCGGGATGCCACTGTCGAAGCAGGGAAGAACGCTGTCACCAAAGTAAAACCTCTCCTGCTTTGCAAGTCCGGGTGAGCGAAAAGAGCGAAAAGAAAAGAGAAACAAGCAAACCTGGAGAGCGTGGATGTCAAAGATGACGAGACTCGTCGGACCACCCCTGGAGATTGGAATGTTGGAGAGTGAAAGCCGATGTCACCCTCGTCTTCCATGCGCTCCAACGTTCCAGTCGGGAAGAACAGCACCACGACCGTGAAGGAAGCGATGAACATCCTGGGAAGAGCGTAGATCACCAAGAGCTCTCAAAGATCACGGCGGGAGAGCTGAAAGGCGCAAGGAATGCAACGTGCTGGCCACGGATCCCAGCACGAACAAGTTTGGAAATCCATCCTCGAATGTGGTGAAAGAAAAAAGAGATCGATTGCTCAAACCCACTTACATCCATCTGAGCTCGATGGAAACTGTCTCGGCAGCGACCCTCCGTGCCACATCCTCGTACTCGTTGCAATATGTCGAGGAGATTAGTTCGAGATTAGTTCCAGCACGGAGACCTCGCAGCCGCGCAGAGATTTTTCGATTGTATGCCCGAAAAAACTATAGTCTCGTGGAACGCGATGGTCTCTGCGTATGCCGCGAAGGGAGACACTAGCATTGCGAAGCTTTTGTTTGGCAAGATGCCCCAATGGGACGTGGCTTCTTTCAACGCAATGTTGACTGGGTTTGACCAAGAGGACTACGTTTTGGAATTGCAAAGATTTTTCAACGCTCTTCCGGAAGCCAATTTTGTCTCTTGGACTATCGTCTTAACAGCATATGCCCGCATTGGGTATCTTTTTGAGTGTAAGGCCCTCTTCGATGCTATGCCACAGAGAGATATAGTGGCATATAACGTAATGCTCTCGGCATTTTCCCAGCACAGTACTGGGAAAGATTCCAAAGCCTTATTTGATACCATGCCACAGTGGGATATGCTTTCCTGGACATCACTTTTAAACGCATATATCCAAGAAGGCAATATTGATCGAGCCAAACGTACATACGACACAATGCCAATGCAGGATACAGTATCATGTACTGTTATGCTCACGTTTCTCTCTACGTATGGTGCCATAGTCGATGCTAGGGTGGTCTATGAATCTTTGCCATGCAAGGATTTAGTTTCACAAAACGCAATGTTAGCGGCGTATGCCTCAAAAGGGTACCTTGAAAAAGCTCGATTTTTGTTTGACTCCATGCCACAACAAGACCTTGTTTCTTGTACTAACATGCTCATTTCGTATGCCCAAGTCGGTCATCTTAACGACGCAAAACTTGTTTTCATTTCCATGCCGGAGCATGACGTAGTATCTCGGACCATCATGCTCATCGCATATGCCTTGAATGGGCATGTTTTAGAAGCCAAGAAAGTGTTCGATTTGATGCTGGAGAGAGATCTCACCGTGTGGAGCGTTATGCTGGCTGCTTATGCCTACACCGGCCACTCCTTTGAAGCCCGCCACCTTTTCCAAACCATAAATTTCATTGAAGCAGCTGGTGAATCCTGCTTTGCCCCCATTTTGATTTCCCTGGGACATGTTGGTGGACTCGACGCCGTGCTTCGTGTCGTTGCAAGGGGACTTCGCGTTAAAGCCTACCAAGCAACACTACGCGTGCATGGTAGACCTCATTGCCAAGGCAGGGCATCTGGAAGTTGCCGAGCTTCTCTTGGAAACCATGCCGTTTGTGCCTGATGCTGTAGATTGGATGTCCCTGACAAAAGGGAATAGACGGCCTGGCAAAAGCGCGAAAGACAAAAACAACCAAATGAGCCGCGACTACGATCTGCAAGCTGAGAACGCGGCCATGAATGAGAATGGTGGTGACGCCGAATGGGAATAGATCAACTTTAAATGCACCAGACAGGGAGCAGCCTCTCGCCGCGGCTTTCGTCCAGGAAAACTTGATCACCCACCATCGCTCAAGGTAATTATGATTCCCGATATCCGCAATTAGCGCTAATCAATCTCTTGGCCTGTCTGTCTCGTTCGTGCCGCGGCAGCACAGCAGCACAACGGCACAGCAGGCTTTTGTGCTCTTTTTCGGTTCGGTTTTTAATAACGCAGAGAAGAGAAGAGCCATGAACTTGCAGATACTGCGGGGTTTATAGCCTTTCTTTGAAAGCTTCACATTCGATCCAGGTTCTTTAGTTTTTCTTTGAACTTATTCGCCAGCACCCACTCATTCGCTCTTTCAGATTTAATGCAGCGGACCTGTGCGTCATCGCGCAAAAGCTATACGAACTTTTCCATCGCTGGAAAGCTTTTAGCTGCACTTCCCGAAAGATTCACTCTTTCCTTGTTTCGCTGTGTACCACGCCAGGCGTCGCTCTACCTCGTGGCTACGAGTGCGTCCGTTCAATCTGGCAAGAGCATTGCTTTTCCTCTTTGGCCGACCCACGTTGATAAGGCTGCAAACGCTCTGTCCAGTTTTTCGGTGGGCGTAAAGGAATCTTCTGGTCATGGCCGGTCAAAGTAATATGGTTGACCAGATTGTGGATGGTCAACGCCATATGCTCGCTAGTTATATAATTAATTGTACCGTACAAATTGTATGTCTCGCAGCTTGGTTTTGATTGATTTGATTTCCAAACTCGCATTGTCTTCTCTTTCATCCAGATGCTGTTACTGATTCGCATCATGCAGTTCAAGCAGGCGTTCTAGTAAGTTATTGCGAACAGATAAAAACTTATCTCTAATAAATTTTCACTAATGTTGGAAGCTGCAAAAAAGATTCGCTGGGTTTTAGCTGTAGGCATGCGTTCAGCAAACCTGTTGTGCGTGCTCAGATCTTTAGATCGTGTTAAAGTTCGCGGAAAAATAGTTGCCTCATACATTGACTAATTGTTACCAAGGCGGCATCTTTTTCATCCTCGGTCCAAATCTCGTGCATTATACTCAAGGTCTTACCCAGCCTCAGCTAGCGTTGGTTGACAAAGAAGATTAATAATGATAACCGAAACTTGTCAACTCGTGTATGCATATAATTTGTCACTTCGTGCGTCCAATGTTCTTAATATAACTAATGCTTGCATACAGGTTAACATCACCAGCCATTGACAAATTCTCCTGAATATCAGAGGAGACTTTGGGAAGAATTCTTTTCTTTCTATGATGCCATGTGAACATTCATAAAGAAAGAGGTTTATGGAAGATCCGTGCTCTTAAGCTCGTTTGTAGACAAGGAACCATTGGATCTTTAAAGGAATAGGAAGCATCCACAACACTTTCGCCTTCAACTTGTAGTATGAAAACAAAAAAGCACGTAAAACGAATGTCCTCATATCCTTATATATGGCTGCAGTTGTGAATCATAGGATTATAAGCTATAATGGCTCAGGCAGAGAATGTAGGCAGTAGTAGCTTCTGCAATTGGTTTCACCCCTCTCTGACAAGTATTCTCTTCTCGCTGCTTCTGCCCACAGCAACACTACTCCTGCTTCTCGCGCATTCTTGTCATGGATCCGACGATGAGCATTTCTACCTCGACCTCCCGTCCAGAGAAGGTTTTGCATGCCCCGAAGTAAACAGCTTTGTAAACGAATTCGATCCGTTCTACAGATGGTCTCTGCGTTCTTCCCTTGCCAGTGTCCTGTCCACGACAAGTGGCATCGACATTGAGCTCGCCAATTCCGCCTACCAGCAAGCTAGTGCATGGAGAGTGATCAGCAACTGGACGAGTGATGAGGGAGCCAACAAGCTGTATGCCTCGGCCGAGCCCCACGTTGCAGGTGGTCACATGAAGCAGCACCGGCACAACTGGCAATGGAGAATGCGAGTGGACTGGGGCATCAGCATCCGCATGTGCCTATCCACTGGTAATGACCAGAGCAATCGGTCATGCCTCTGGACTACTCCCATCCTTCAGAAGGAAAGCGAAGCGGATCTCAGCCTGCTCTTTATTGCTGTACCTTACAGGGCTGCAACTGCACCCAGCATTGAACCAGATCTGAACAACATGCCGCGTAGCACATCAGGATTCTACCTTTCCAACTACGCCAGCAGTGCAAGGACGGACTTCACCAAGTACCAGAAGCTCAACACCTCCAGCCACTATTATCTTACGAACACTAAGGATGTACCAAAGTGTCGGTTTGCACCGTCTTACTACAGCAACGACGCCACAGCATACCTCGGGTTTCCCAGCCTCCAATGCGGCTGCTCCAATTCCTCCACCAGGGTATGTGTCGTGGTCACCAGGAACATGGACACCAGCAGCTGGGGATTGTTCGACTATCGTTCCTCCTGCGATTTGCTGACGTCTTACTGGGCTTGGAACACCGGTGGAAACACTTGGCTTGTTCTTACCGTACACAACACCTCATCTGACAAGCCTATACCATTTGTTGCAACCTTTAAGGGGAATACCTCTTTCGGGTCCTCCCTCACTGGGGTTACAGCGAATGACTTCCAGGCCATGGCGAACACAACAGTCTGTGTGGAAGCATTGATGCAGCAAATACCGGTGCCATCCAGTGTGGAGGTTCAGAACAGGTGCAGTACTGATCAGCTGGTATTAAGCACTCAAGATAGTGAGTACTATCTCAACAAGATGAGACGGTTCCTCTGGGCTCCCACTCCCCCCCAGAACAAGATCAGTACACCCTGTTTCGGAGATCTGCCTATGGGACAGCTCGAGTTCAAGGACAAGCTATGTGTGACCAAGCTGGACACTGCTATCAGCACAGAGATTAAACTGATGGTCGAATCCATGTTACAGCTCAGAGATGTTAAGTTCAAGCAGAACAAGCTGTGGAATGATGGATCAAACAACAGACACGAAGTCTATGGCGGGATTTTGTCAGCGATTGTGTCCTTCGTGGGAACATGTTTATTGGCAACGAGTACCAAGTTGCAGGATATTGAAGAGTCCTTTGAGAAATTCTGGCACCGTGGTGGCGCCGTTGGGGACACCAACACCGACGGCCAGGCTGTTCAGTCGAGCAAGGGATCAGTTTTTTCAAGCCAGGACCCCATCTTTTGGTTTAAGTTCCTTTATAGGACACTCCTCGTACTCGGTTTTGCAGGTAATTTGAACCTCTTCTTGCCACAAGTTGATTCACTAAGCTCACATTTTGTGCAGTTTTACTGTCATATACAGCATATAGTAGCGTGCAAAGTGTAAAGAAGGACCGGGACATCTTGCAAGCGCAAACAGTACCTCAGGTCCTTAGTGATGGTACCGTGGTGTTGCTCACCACCACAGCTACGTACGAGGTGAAACCCTTGTGGGCCAGCTTCTACGTTATTTCTGTTCTTACGGTGCTGGCTGTGATAATCACACTGGTCATTACATGGCGTAAACTTAAAACGCTGCCGGTGAAAGAGAGCAGTGAAAGGGAGTGATTAGGTAATTGTCTTTGAAGATTTTGGTGTCACTAAGTTCTGTTGGCTAATTGCGCCACTGGCTGTGATAATTACAGTGGTCATTGAAAAAAGATACCGTCTTTGAGATTGCCATCCAAATCTTTGTCACGCGATGTTCCAGTTCGTCAGTGAAGCAGCAAGCCAGCAAAGTCTTTGTCACGTCTAAGCTTTTGGGTCCGTAGCCTACGCCAAGCCAACTTCTGGCAACCCGAAGATGATCACGCAAACTCATATTGCAGTCTCTCTCCGGGTGGAACGAGATCATTACAGCGAATGCATCAAAGAAAAGCAAACGCTGTGACTTCTCTCTTGGTTCCTAAACTGCCCAGCATGGGAAGGAATCCTTTCTGCAAAGATGCAGTGCTTGTCCTGCGTAGCAGCTCCGATCCACTCGCGTGAACAATCGCGCTTCCACCGTTGTACACTTCACGTTTTGAAGCCACGGATTTACAAACACCACCACCTCAAACCACATAGAGTTCAGTAATCTCTTGTTACTACTATGTCTTTCTGGGTCGATATCCGCAAGACGCTGCCATCTTTTTCTCCGGAGTCCTGACAGATGTGGAGGAGACGCTATTACCCAGCCAACGAGCTGATGAACTCTGCCAAGTTATGCCCTGAGCTGCCCGGCTGGGTGGAGAGTGCAGCCTGTCGGACCAGCTTCCTCCTTTGCTTGGCACGGTTCCTGAGCTCTTGGTCCTCCATTACAGCACGCAAGCCTCGCTCGACGTCATCTGCGGACGGCACACCATCCACCCCAATATCCACCGCAATTTTGTACTCGTCCACAAGGTGCCTGCAGGTTGGGAGCTGGTCACCTAAGAACGGCCAGGCCAGAATGGGAACACCAGCCAGCAGAATACACTCCACCACGGAACTCCACCCGCAGTGTGAAACTAGTGCACCAATGGCCGGATGAGAGAGAACCAGCTGCTGAGGCACCCAACCTGTGAGGATTTTCCCCCTACCGGAGGTTCGCTCCGCAAAGTTTGGAGGTAGCACGCGGTTCAGGTAGGCGGTCGGCTCCTCGTTCCTGGGACTTGGAAGCGACCAGAGGAATCTAAAGCCGGACGATTCGAGTCCGTGTGCCAGCTCTCGAATCATCTCATCGCCCAAGACTATAAAGCTGCCGAAGCATATGAGGACCAGCGACGCCGTGGGTTGCTTGTCCAGCCATGAGACAAGCGCCGTGGAATCCTCGCTGTTCTTGCCGATTGAGACCGCTGTTCCTCGAATGTCTTCTTGAGAGGGTCGATCGTCCTGGAGGTAGGAAGATGGATACAGAGGTCCTACGGGAATGCACCGTATCTCGGGGTACTCGCAATGTAAAGCATCCAATATCTGCACGGACACGTGAGAAATCACCCCCCACTAAATGCCCGTCTTACTGGTCCTTCAAGCTCTTCGGAAGTATTCAGTAGTATCCCGTTGGAGTGGACAAAATGCTTGGCTACGCCTTCTTTACCCAAGTAGAATCTGTAAACAAAGATCACGGAAACAAACAGAAACATAGAAAGAATGATACCCATGGGATTTGATGACAACGTCCAAAGGTAGCTCAGCCCATCGAAGAGGTGGAAGTCCGGGAACATGAACTACGCTCTGCATGTCTTGGTCCACATTCCCGCTTCGGCTGGGGCCGTGGAAGGAGAGCATGACAGCGAGATGCGCCGAAGCACCTGTGTAGAGGATATACTTTGGGATGCCTCTCTCCTCAACAGTTTGACTTGCCCAGAACATCACCATTCGATCGAGAACCACCGCTTTGGGGCGCAGCACATCGAGGTGTTTCCGGAGCGAGTCAGGCAGGGCGGGAAAAGGGGATGATGGCAAAAGGTCGGGACGAGACTTGCGAACTCCAGGGAAAATGAAAGCCGGTCGAGGGGAAGGAATGGACTCCATGAGAGCGCGCATTTCAATGTTTGCTATGTCCGTGGTCATTCCAGATGGGTTCAGCCACGGCAGTAGCACCGTAACACGGCAGCCCTGAGAAGCGAGCTTCTTTGCAAAGAGCATACCTGTGTTGAAGTGACCACCGCCTTGAACGGTAACCAAAACGATGTCGGCCATTCTAGATAGCGGACCTTGTCGGCCTTATCTTAACCAAGCGCTCCCAAGTCAAGTTCATCAAAATAGTCTAGATATGTGAGTCTTACAGGAGTCTGGAGTTGCAATAGAACAAGGGTCTCGTCTAGCACTATTTTTTTTTTCCACGTGGCCAGTTCAGCGGTCGAACGAATATGCCAGTGTGATGCTTCTTCTTCACACAATGATGATTCGCAGGCTAGAGAGATTCGAGCGCGGCCGCTCTGGCCCAGCGGCGCAGCTGGCGTGTAACGTATGATCCACCAGCGAAATACAGTTAGAGAGAAGAAGTCACGGACTTAACCGTGGGGAAGTGCTCGAATTGCTTGTGCAAGCGCTTCTAAGCTCCCTCGTCGGGGAAAGCTATAGTCACCTGCAGGAGATTTTTAGGACATCGCTTGCAAGCTCTCAACTGAGTCTCACATTTTTGGAATCCGGAAGCTTGAGCAGCGGGATGCCACTGTCGAAGCAGGGAAGAACGCTGTCACCAAAGTAAAACCTCTCCTGCTTTGCAAGTCCGGGTGAGCGAAGAGATCGAAAAGAAAAGAGAAACAAGAAAACCTGGAGAGCGTGGATGTCAAAGATGACGAGACTCGTCGGACCACCCCTGGAGATTGGAATGTTGGAGAGTGAAGGCCGATGTCACCCTCGTCTTCCATGCGCTCCAACGTTCCAGTCGGGAAGAACGGCCCCACGACCGTGAAGGAAGCGATGAACATCCTGGGAAGAGCGTAGATCACCAAGAGCTCTCAAAGATCACGGCGGGAGAGCTGAAAGGCGCAAGGAATGCAACGTGCTGGCCACGGATCCCAGCGCGAACAAGTTTGGAAATCCATCCTCGAATGTGGTGAAAGAAAAAAGAGATCGATTGCTCAAACCCACTTACATCCATCTGAGCTCGATGGAAACTGTCTCGGCAGCGACCCTCCGTGCCACATCCTCGTACTCGCTGCAATATGTCGAGGAGATTAGTTCGAGATGGAAACAAAAGGATTGTTCGCTTGGAGGAAGGCGAGGCCGCTGGAAGGCACGTCGTCATTGTGGACGATCTGGAGGCACTCTCAAGGAATGCCAGGTTCGTGTAGTAAGATTTCTTCATCGTTTCTTAGCCAGTGTCTTTCAGAATGTACTACAAGCGGATGGAGCCACGAAAGTGAGTGCTTACGCCACACACGGCGTCTTCCCTCAGCAAACCTGGGAGCGATTTCTTCACGCGGCGGGAGGAACGTAGAGACTCCATTCTTTACTTTCTACAGGAAACTTGTCAACGCTGTTAACATTTCAGATAGCGAGAAAGAATTTTCTCACATTTGAGTCCTAATTGGCAGGGCACCCTTTGAAGTTCTCGCGCTGGTTGGTTCCTCCATCTCTGATTTTATTACTCTTCCTTTTGCTTGAGAGTTGATCCAGTTTTCTCTTCCACCTCCTTTGCAGGGCAGGAAATTTTTTTAATTTTTTTAATTTTTGTTCTTGAGTTTATTGACAAGTAAATGAGCCTATCTTTCCGAATTTACTTACAAGCGTAGATTATGAGTTTTCCAGATGGCTGAAAGAACTAGAAGATCTACAAACTATAATAGCGCATTTTTCCCGTCAATTAGCTGTCACTGGCTGGTGAAAACGAGTTGCGCCTGGCAAGCTATGGTTGGATCAATGCCACGGTGGTCCAAGTACTTAAAGCATATACTTTGTAGATTCTTTGAAGAATATGCCAGTTTGATGCTTCTTCTTCCTCTAGGCGTCCATAATGCGAACGATTTGATCAGGATGCACGGGCGATTGGGAAATGCCGCCAAGGCTCGAGAGATTTTCGATCTAATTCCCGTGAAGGATCGTCTGAGCTGGGACTACATGCTGCTGGCCTACACCCAGGGCGGGTCGATCGACGAGGCATGGCGAATTTTCGATCAAATCCCGCAGCCCAGCGTGTTTTCCTTCAACATTTTGCTGTCGGCGCTCTCGCAGAGCGGGGATTTTCGCGGGGCGCGCCGGATCTTCGACGGGATGCCGCAGTGGGATGTGGTATCGTGGAATTCGATGCTGTCCGCGCACATCCAGCACGGAGACCTGGCAGCCGCGCAGAGATTTTTCGATTGTATGCCCGAAAAAACTATAGTCTCGTGGAACGCGATGGTCTCTGCGTATGCCGCGAAGGGAGACACTAGCATTGCGAAGCTTTTGTTTGGCAAGATGCCCCAATGGGACGTGGCTTCTTTCAACGCAATGTTGACTGGGTTTGACCAAGAGGACTACGTTTTGGAATTGCGAAGATTTTTCGACGCTCTTCCGGAAGCCAATTTTGTCTCTTGGACTATCGTCTTAACAGCATATGCCCGCATTGGGCATCTTTGTGAGTGTAAGGCCCTCTTCGATGCGATGCCACAGAGAGATATAGTGGCATATAACGTAATGCTCTCGGCATTTTCCCAGCACAGTACTGGGAAAGATTCCAAAGCCTTATTTGATACCATGCCACAGTGGGATATGCTTTCCTGGACATCACTTTTAAACGCATATATCCAAGAAGGGCATATTGATCGAGCCAAACGTACATACGACACAATGCCAATGCAGGATACAGTATCATGTACGGTTATGCTCACATTTCTCTCTACGTATGGTGCCATAGTCGATGCTAGGGTGGTCTATGAATCTTTGCCATGCAAGGATTTAGTTTCACGAAACGCAATGCTAGCGGCGTATGCCTCAAAAGGGTACCTTGAAGAAGCTCGATTTTTGTTTGACTCCATGCCACAACAAGACCTTGTTTCTTGTACTAATATGCTCATTTCGTATGCCCAAGTTGGTCATATTAACGACGCAAAACGTGTTTTCATTTCCATGCCGGAGCATGACGTAGTATCTCGGACCGTCATGCTCATCGCATATGCCGTGAATGGGCATGTTTTAGAAGCCAAGAAAGTGTTCGATTTTATGCTAGAGAGAGATCTCACCGTGTGGAGCGCCATGCTGGCTGCGTATGCCTACACGGGCCACTCTTTTGAAGCCCGCCACCTTTTCCAAACCATGAATTTCATTGAAGCAGCTGGTGAATCCTGCTTTGCCCCCATTTTGATTTCCCTGGGACATGTTGGTGGACTCGACGCCGCAAGAAATTGCTTCGTGTCGTTGCAAGGGGACTTCGCGTTAAAGCCTACGAAGCAACACTACGCGTGCATGGTGGACCTCATTGCCAAGGCAGGGCATCTGGAAGTTGCCGAGCTTCTCTTGGAAACCATGCCGTTTGTGCCTGATGCTGTGGATTGGACGTCCCTGCTTGGAGCTTCCAAATCTCAGAACAATGTCAAGCAGGGATTCTGTGTTGCAAAATCCTTGGTTGGCATGAACTCACAAGAATCAGCTGGGTATTTACTACTGGCCAACATGTTACACGCAAACAAATCCTGAGTTTTGTATTTTCTTTCCAAGTTTGTAGCTTGCAAGTTTCAATCAATGATCCAAAGCTAGACGAACAGCATGAAATCACAAGAGAAACATGAATACCATCAACATAAGATTATCCTTGCAAGTTCTATACTCTCCATAGACATACATTACATAAACTGGATGAAAGAAGGAGCTTGTACACCATCCAAGCTAAAAACCACACTCAGCCTCCCCGTTTCTACATTCCTGGAAAGAACGTTCAACTTGTTCGAGTTTTGGAGCCCAACCACGACCATCTCCCCGGACCGATCAAACGCAAAATGCCGAGGCCCAGAACCCCCGACTCGATCCAGCCCAAGAAAGGTCAGGCCACCGTCACCTTCAGCGTCCACTCCAAACACCGCGATGGTATCCTCGGCGTTACCACGGTTGGACGCATACAAATACCTCCCATCCGGCGAGAGAGCCACCTCCGCCGCCGTGCACGCGCTCTTGTTCGCTACGCTATCATCCAGAGTGGACCAGCTCTGGATCAAACGCAGTGCTCCATTCCCCGGATCATACGAAAGCTGGCTCACGCTGTTTGCGAGCTCGTTGATCACGTACGCGAATCGCTCGTCGCGGGAGAAGATCAAATGCCGAGGACCCGACCCAGGCTCGAGTGAAACCTCCGGAGCAGCGGCCTCGTCGAGCTTCCCAGTCGAGACGTTGAGGACTCGGGTGTGGATCTTGTCAGTGCCGAGATCACAAACGAAGACAAACTTTCCCGAGGAGTCCGTGATGATCTGGTGGGGATGAGGAGCCTCCTGCCGGGGATTGTTGCTCGGCTCCGTCAGGCCTGGAACCTTGATCAGCGAAACCGGTTGCTGGTGCACACCCTGGTGGCGACTATGGTCGACTTGGAGAACGCCATAGCTGCCACCGTTGTAGTTCGCGAACAAGACCCACTTGCCGCTGGAGTGGACGCTAATGGCAGCCGGGTCCGCGCCGCAAGTGGAGGCGGGGTGGCCGAGACGAGTGAGAGAGGTGTGGTGTGGAGAGAAGGAGAATGCCTCGAGAGCGCCACTCTCCACTTCGTTTACGGCATAGAGAACGTTGCCCAGCGTGGCCAGAAAGGTGGGATTGGTACCTGATGGAAACGAGGCGATGGAGTGGAGATGGTGCTTGTCCAGCGCTAAGAGGTGGATTTCATCGCTGTAGCCACCGACCAACAAGAGCTGCTTCGTCATCTTGATCTAGAAAAGAAAAAGGGCTTTTGTGAAAGCAAAAGAAATGTGAAGGTTGCGTACCCGATGTGATGATGACAATGACGATCGAACAAGATAGATTGATACGAGGAGAAGGAGAAAGCGGCCGGAATCATGGAGAAATCCCATTGTTGGATTGTAGAATCTCCACGGGATTGGATTCGTACGACTTCTGTGACCTCCTTTTTCGTAACTCCTTTTCTTAAAAAAAATGGACCACGAAATTTGTATGGGAAAGCACTTCTGGAAGCACACATTCGTGCTGGGGAACTAAAGTCGCGGACAGACAAAGCCAGCTATCCATCCGGGCATCTCCAAAGCATTTCGAGAATAAAAAAGTTCTCAACTCAGAAGGCTGGGCACTTTGCTTTAGAATGTCATAGTTATATGTATGAGCTCTACAAAAATTGTAAGTGTACAGTGGCTGTGGTGGCAACCTCGTGTTTGGATCATAAGATAGATGATCATCCTGGCGATTTTTCTCCGTCCTCTATGCTGTAGTGCGCAAGCATAAGCTGCATTCCATACTTGGGCTTGAGCGTGATGGCAGTGACCGGAGCGTGCCTGTAATTGGGAGAGATCTTGAGCTCGAATCTCTGGAGGATCATTGCCAGGACCACTTTGGCCTCCATCATCGCAAAGCTCTGCCCGAGGCAAGCTCGCGGCCCCAGCGAAAATGGCATGAAACTCCACAGCTTTTGGTGCTGAAGCTTGCAAGCCCCCGCCACTCCATCGGCGAATCGGGCCGGGTTAAAGTGGAGGGCGTCGTCCCCCCACACGTCTTTGCTGTGGTGGAGTGCCACAATGGGTATCCAAAACGTAGTCCCCCGCGGATATTTCACGTCCTGGATGCTCAAGTCCACCAAAGATTCCCTCACCAGTGCCGGCGCCGGAGGATATAAGCGGAGTGCCTCGTTGAGAATCATTCCCAGCTGCAAGAAAGAAAAGAAAAAGGTGGCGAAAGATTAGTGTACGCAGAGAGAGAGAGAGAGAGAATTTCTTCCAAGACACTCAAAGGCAGCTACGTGGAGTTATGACTTTGGCCTAGGACAGGAGGTGGACTAGTTGGCGTGCAAAGTATACTGTAAAACAACTTACAATCTTTAGCTTGGGAAGGACATCGGCATCCGGAACGGAGGACTTGGACGGAAGATGCTCCATCACTTCGGCACGGCCGCGCTGCTGCCACTCTGGATTCAAGGCCAGAAGCATCAGAGTCCAGGTGAGCAGCGCCGATGTGGTCTCGTGCCCCGTGAAGAAGATGGTTTTGCACTCCTCCACAAGCTCCGGCGTGTCAAACTGCTGTGCAGCTGCTGCTGCTTCGGACTTGTCTCGCTCGCTCTCGGACAGCATCAGTCCCAAGAAGTCGCTTCCATACCCGTGCTTTTGTCGTCCCGCACGGCGCTCCAGTACAAGCTCTCGCAGCGCTCGCTCCATGTCCCTTTTGATCCGGGAAGCTCTTCTATTGGCAGCCGTGGGGAGCATCCTAAATGATCTTTACTTTAGTACAGTTATAAAGAGCAGATAGAAATATAACAATTGAATAAGGTGGTGAAAGAACCAGAAGCTGATGGAGCCAGGCGGGACTTTGATATACAAGGTATATATATGGAGGAATCATTGGAAATCATGCATGTTTTGTTCCACGCAAAGGTTGATGGCGATGGAGACACAAAGATATGAGATAAGACAAATAGAGGGAGTGGAGGAACCTTGAGAGACTGGAGTGCGAGAGAGGATTTTTCTGATCTTCGTGATATCATACCTGTTGCATGGAAGCCAGAGAAAACGATTGGACTGAGCGAAAACTTTCTGGAGGCACGTCAGGAGCTGGAACACCCTCTTGCCTTTTTCGTGACTGCTGGTGCTGCTAAACGCGGTACGAGCAATTACATCGGCCGTGGCCATGGATAAGTAATAGTTGATGTCGATCTCCGCGGATGATCCATCGCCGCTCCTCCTCGAGCTCTTGTTGTCAATGATTTGGCTCCACTGGCCCAGCATTTGAGACGTGCTCGCCACCATCTCGGGTACCATTTTCTGCCAATAATTATGCCTCATGAATTCATATCATATAGAAAGATAGAAAGTAAAGAAGAATTAACTTCTTCAAATCCAAAGAAGTATATGTCTTTGGGAGGGAAAGAGAGACCTTACCTTGAGCATCTCGGCATGGAACGCCGGCCCAACGATGCGTCTCCGGTGAGCCCAGCTCTCTCCGTTGGCATACACCATTCCATTCCCAAGCAGCAGCACACCACCCTTTTTTAGTAGCAGCGACTTTCCAAAGTGCTCGGCCTTGGTGGACAAGATCTCCTTGATCATCTCGGGCTCCACAACCGTGATCCTCGGCTCCATTCCCCACCAGAAGAGAAACCTCTTCCCTGTCACACACACACATTAGTTAGTTTACAACTCTTTGGAGAAGCTTGGCAGAGAAACAGAGGAATGTGTGCTAGAAGTGTGGATATGGAGGAGGGAAATTCGAGCTATATACCGTAGATGGCGGACCAGTATGTAAAGTGGGGGCATATCCTGGGAAGAAGATCATGGTCGCCAACTCGCATGTCCTTGGATGTTGCCAGTTCTCTCATCTTGGATACTTGGTGCATGTTTCCAATCAGGAACTTTGGAGGGGGGCCATCCAGGCCTTGCTCGAGGAGATTCTTTCTCAGGTGGACATATCTGAAGGCCACGGACGCGCTCCACACCAGGATCACGAGCAAAGAGGCGAGGAAAACGAGCATTGGCGCGGCAAGGAGGAGCATTGAGAGCTTGAGGGAGATTCCCTGGTAAAATGCAGGCAAATTGTGACTCATTCTCTGGAAGTCTAGAATCGATGAATTGCTGGGTGTGATTGACACCATCCCTGTGTGACCAGCTTCAAGGAAATTCCCAGCAGCGAAGAATGCAGCTGGATTTGCCAAGAAAAGTATAAGTGAAGTATGTGCCTGCCTTGATTGACAAAAAAAAAAAAAACAAACAAAAAGGGAGAATTGGAGAAGAAGATGAGCAAGTTCTCAAGGAATCTTTTAAATGGATAGAGAAAATATGAGCAAGAGTGATCTCTCTCTTTCCCTCTTTGCCTCTCTCCTCTCCTTGTCACACACTCTTTTCTTGTGGAGAACTTTAGAAGCATTCCCTATATACGCAAGGCCCAGAGCTTTGTGGAATTGTTATTTTAGCATAACTTGCTACCAAACAAATGGAGGCTCTACACCAGTAAATGCACTGGGAATCTAGCTGAAGAAAGAAGCAAGGAAGAAAAACTCTCTTATATCATCAATCACTATAACACTGAATCCACAACGCGGAATTGTCCAACTCCTCGCAGTAGTAGTGAAGTGAGGGGTTTTTTCTTTTCTTTAAAGCTTTTGAAAATGCATACATTAGTTTGTCACTGTGTTGATGTCAGGGCCAAGAATTGCTAGAGAAAAGGCCATGCTGACTTATGGCTAAGCTAAGTTAAAGGTTGTGTCGTATGTGTCGGTGTTTAGAAGTGTTCGAACTCTCGTCTGTGGCCAGTTGTAAGAAATCCAAGCTCAAACAAAAAAACGCCGATTATTTTACGTAAACACGTGCAAAACAACGCGCCACCTTTTGCAATGATCATCGCCATAATACAATGTTTAAGATCTTAGGTTCGGGCAATGGAGAGGATTGAGTGAGATGGTGCAACTGTAAAACCAAAGCAAACAAACCCTTAGAAAAGTGTTTTAAGGATTTCTCTCTTTTTTCAACTTGCTAGCCGGGCAGCCAATCATTGAATCGAACAACCATGAGCAAGAAATTTCACATTTATTCTCTTTCAGAGGAATAAGGTGATGTAAGGAAAAATCTCTGATCTCTGCCACTCTTTGGCATCATCGTATTTCATTTGTTCGGACCGTAGACAGGCTCTTAACAAACAGGAGCCTAAGTCTTTTGATGTTTCTTTTTCTCGCGGCTCAACACTTGGCACACAATTTAATTTGATTCCTCCACCAGGCATCACTGGATTTCATTTCACGCCCTCCGAAGTGCAACCATGAGTCACTCATCAATTTCAATCACTTCGGACAGATAATATCATGGCTTGGAATATATCTAGGCACACTCTTGTCAAACCACCATGATTTCTACTTGTTCCAACGCTTTCTTTTCCAATAGTGTGATCTCATGTAAGTTCAAAATCATGTAATAATTAATATATTTGGAAGGCCCTGCTCGAATATTTAAAGTACCAACTTTTAAATATTTAATATTTCCATGTTAAACCCAGTAGTGGTGTAGCAAGAGCATGGCAGTAGCAGCAGCAATGGTTTGTGCATCAGGGGGCCCTTTGGGATTCAGTCCAGTCCGCCTGGAAAGCAAGAATAAAGACCACATGTCATGCTAGAACATAATATTTTGGAAAAAGAGAGAACAAATATACAAAGCCAGAGAAACAGGCAACGAGAGGACCTCTACGTGTGTCGTGGGCCTTCCAACCAAATTGAATGGAGCCTTCATGTTGATTCCCCCTACCACCTTGCAGCTTCTTATTTTCCACAAGTCTGAATTTAGAGCATACATGGTTCCATACATTGACGTTTACTAACTATATATGGGTAAAAGCTGCTCCATTTACAATTTTATTTCGGATTCGGCGGTCACCTCAAAAAAAGGGTGAAAAAAAGCAAAATAACATGTATATGTCGTTTTGTGTCTGTTTGTTGTGTGCATCTTTATGCAGGAAGTCACATGGCTTTTTCTTGCATATTTATGAAAGCAACAGCTCTTGCCCGAAGGATTTCTCTGGAAACCCTGATATTGATATCGGTGGCTATAGTTCGGGACACGAGTCGTTAGTTTGGGGATCCATCCACCAAAGTATGCCAAAGGCTGCAGCTGGAATCCAACTATAACAAAAAGTGCAGCGAGATCTTTCGAAGGTGTACACAACCATTCCAGAATTGTTGGCTTATCAAAGTCAATGAAAAAACTATATCTGTTGCTTCATCAAATATAACTCTATCATTGTGTTTTCATGACAAGGAACTAGACACTAGGTAATATTTTATTGTCAAAACCCAGTCATCTCACTTGGTGGGCCTCAAAATCATGTATTATTATCGAAAAAGGTGGAGAAAAACACTTTCCAAATGACGAGACGGTGGTGTGGCGGTGATCCAAAACACAAAAAATATGATATTAGAAATTCTTTTAAAATGATTTTGTGACATTCTAAAAGATGATTTTGTGACAGTCAGACAAGTCAACTCCTTGGACTAAAAGTCAAATTCTAAAAGTCAACTCCTGAAGAAAAAATGGGTTGATTGATTATGCTGGCAGTGGACGTGGTGGCAAGCTGCGAGCAATGGAATCGCCACGACACCATTCGCGCCATTGAATCGTGCAGGAGCTTAACAAGAGCTCTCGGCATCCACAGCCGCATCCCCAGAGATGCCACTGACGTGTTCATCAGCAACAAGCTCGTGGACATGTATGGCAAATGTGCTGGCGGGATCGCCCATGCCAGGGCGGTCTTTGATTCCATGCCCGCTAGAGATTCCTACTCTTGGGTCTCGATGCTCTCGGCATATGCCCGTTCTGGGAATCTGGATCTTGCCAAGTCCGTGTTTGATTCCATGCCAGATCTCAACACTGTTGCTCACAACTCCATGCTTGCTGCTTACTTACATAGTGGAAATCTTGAGAGTGCAAAGAAATTCTTCGATTCAATGCCAAGAAAGGATGTGGTTTCTTGGACGACTATTCTGGCAGCACATGCCCAATCAGGGGATGTTTTTCAGACGAAGATTTTATTTGACTCAATGCCTTTCCACGATCTAGTCGCTATGAACGCAATGCTAAGCTCATACACACTGAATTCCCGAATGCATGAGGCTGAAATATTTTTCTCCAAAATGCCAGCAAAAGATTTAATCTCGTGGAATGCACTTGCGACTGGGTTTGCCCAGACCCGGCAAATTGACCGAGCTAGTCGGATCTTTGAATCGCTGCCTCTCTTGGACCTAGTCTCTTTTAATTCCATGCTGTCGTCACTTGCCCAGGGCGGAAATTTGGAGCGCGCAGAATTTTTTCTTGCACGAGTTCCAGAGTTGTGTTTGATCTCCTGCAATGCTATGGTTGCGGCATATGCCCAGGTCGGGCATCAAGAAGAATCAAAGAAGTTTTTTGATTCAATGCTACAGAGGGATCTTATCTCGTGGAATGCCCTTCTTGGAGCATACACTGAAGCTGGTCATTTAACTCAGGCTACTCGAGTTTACAGTTCAATGCCACAGCACGACCTCATTTCGTGGACGGCCATGATTGAGGCATATGCCCACAATGGGCATATGGACAGGGCTAGGGTGCTGTACGACTCTATGCCGCAGCGGGACATGGTGTCGGCCACTGCCATGGTGGCATTGTACGGACAAGCTGGATATCTGAAAGATTCTGTCGCTGTTTTTGAAAGTATGCCCAGCCATGACTTATTCTCGTCAAATGCGATGCTCTCAGCCTATGCCCAGAACGAGCATATGAAGGAGGCGAAGCTCATCTTTGAGAAGATTCCATATCCCGATATGGTATCTTTTAATTCTATGGTTTCTGGTCTTGCACAGAATGGCCATCTTGAAGAGGCGAAACAGCTTTTCGAATGTCTGGAGTTTCGGGATTTGATTACTTGGAATGCTATGCTCGCAGCAAACGCCCAACGAGGCTACTTGCCAGAAACTTTGGGTCTTTTTAATGCAATGCCCGAGAGAGACCTGTACACTCTCACGTCGATGGTGGCGGCGTTTTCTCTCGATGGACAGGTTCACAAGGCCTTTTACGTGTTCTTTGAGATTCCACACAAGGACATCCACTGCTGGAATACGATGCTATATGCGTACGCTCAAAACGGGCAAACAGCCCGAGCGAGAAAGTTCTTAGAGACAATGCCCAGCCCGTGTGTGTTCTCCTGGACGATCATGGTGACGGCGTATACAGGAGCCAAAAACTCAGTAGATGCGTTTCAAACTTTTGACATGATGAAAATGGTGGAGATTCCCACCGATGCTTGTTTCATATCGGTGCTTATCGCGTGCAGCCACAAAGGCCAGGTTTACTTGGCGATGGCCAATTTTTCGTCCATGATCGTAGACTTCGGCATGGAGCCAAGCAAACAGCACTACACCTGCATTGTGGATGTTCTCGCGAGGGCTGGATACCTAAGAGAAGCGACGGAGCTCGTCACGGTGATGCCATTTGTTCCAGATAATTTCGACTGGACGTGCCTGCTCGCAGCTTGCAAGAGTTACAGCGATGTGGAGCAAGGCAGCCGCGTTGCCAGGTTTGTGGTTGACTTGAATCCTCCAGACAGTGGAGGGACGTTTGCGCTGCTCGCAAATCTCTTCTCCATTGAGAGGCAGATCAAACTTGATCTTCCACAACAATGTGTTATACCAAGTAAAAAAACATAAAAACAGTAAATGGAGAAGGGAGAAAAAGACAAGCTCGAGGATTCAAGCTTAGGAAAGTAAACTTGAGAAGTTCAAGGTTAGGACTGTATTCTTAACCTTGACGTGAGCATTAGCGACTATAAAAGTAGGACTTAGAATGTTTTTAGACTTATCCCTAATACAAAATACATTGCAATACATCGTCATTCTGCCTATCTCTTTGGCTTTTCATGGCAATAGCAATGTCTTACTTACCCACCGCCTTCAAGGGATCAAAGGCGTGGGACTAGCACCTTCAAGCACATGTTCACAGTCTCAACTTGGCTTGGCACAAGCAGGTAAGTGCACTCATCTCGTAGTGTAGTTTTAGTTTTAGGGACTAGATTAGATTTGAATCTCCTAGGAAGATCTCGTGTGGACGTTTCCTCCCAGTCCAGAGATTCCAGGAGTTTTCACTGGCGACCACGGTGGGATGAGAGAGGCGTGAAGAGCTCATGGAATAGAGCAGACCAAGACGCTCATTTTCCCCAAAACTTCAAGGAAAACGGACCAAAGACGCACAAGAAAATGGCATAGGAAGAAAAAGCCCCAAAAATCAAGAAAAACAAGACCGTAAAACAAAAACGGTGGAAGAGCATGAAGGCATGAAGAAAAAAAAATGGAGCGTAAGACCAAAAGATGAAGAACACTTGAAAATTGAAGCCACCCAAGTCGTGGAAAACTTGGAGCGTACGCGTAACTGTTTTTGGCGAGAGGTTGAAGAAAGCGAATATTCCAAGGATCTGCGATAAGGAAACGACCAAGGGAAAATTCTAGCGGCTGGAGATGGAGGAAGAATGAAAAAGCACGATTGCCCATTTGGAGACACAAGCTGTACAAAATACGAAGACTGTCTTTTGTGTGGTTTCAGAAATTGTGCAAAACCGTACAAGCAATGCTATCCAAAATGGCGATGCGACACTTGCAAACAAGCAAAAGCAAGACTGCGAATCAGGGATGACATTGCCGCAGCGGAGGAGAGTAGGAAACGAAAAGAAATAGCCCAAGAAAATGACACCAAAAAGAGAGACGATAGTTTAGAACAAGCTGCGAAACAAAGCTTTAGCTGTTTACAAAAACTTCAAGAAACGATTCTACGACTCTTCTACAAATTGTCTAGCAAATAGGAGGGATGCAAAAATGAGGAAATGTTGAAAGAAAAATATGTTTACTTCGATTTCTTTGCAACTCGAAGAACCCTGACTTGGGTGTATCGCGGACACCTCTTTCAACAAACGATTGTTGAATTCCTAGGCATACACAAACATGAAACTTTTCAACCATTAACGCTTGCTTTCAACACTGATTTGACGAGAGTCATAGCAGCAACAGAGTGTGGAATTTTTGAACCACAAGTTCGTTGGTTTGTGGACACTCTTAGATTTAGAGATTTTGAAGAGAACGTGGAATTACTTTACCGACTTCTTCAAAGTCCTCTCCGTGTAACGCTACCAACAAGCACTCTTCTCGAATTATATGCTATAGCATATTGGCACCGTTTAGGACGGACGAGAATAGCTGGAGAATTAAGAAATCAAGGACAAGGCCATCAACAAATTCCAATTTGGAATTCGAGTTTAAGAAACTGACGGGAACCTGAACTTGCATCAAGTTCAAGGGAACGACTTGTAAACTCGAGGATAACAAGTCGAAGGAGGAGAAATTTAAGACAAAATCACAATAGGCCAAGATTAAATACAGTAACAAACTTCAACTTTGACACTGAGGTCCAACATCGAAACCCCCAGCCTAGAGCTACATATCACTCGCAACCAACAAGGAAGAGTGCGTCCAAGCAGTCACAACATTTTAAGGAGTATTTTAGGAGATCCTGCGTCAAGGATTCAAACTTATAATGCAAGAGTATTAATTGAGACTATCCCTTGGGAAGTTCGTGAAGCGATCGACTCTGATCGTGAAAGAGAACGTGCTATACGACAGAGGGAAGTAGAACACCACCGGCAAGAACAGCATCAAGGAAATGCACCATCACGCAATCGACCATAGAGAAAATTGCGCTGGATAAACCCGCGCACACATAGGCTAAAGGCAACAAGAATCTGTTGGAAACTATACTGTGACGTGTGGACGTCATTAGAGACTAGAAACATACAAGAATTAGGACATTAAAATACAACTATTGCTGTATTCAGCATTTTCAAATACTACCAACGACTGGGAAACACAAACGTTCATAGTGAGAGCTCGCATTCCAGTACGACCAACATATTGTAAGAGACCAAAACAATTGTTCAAGAATTTAGATAAGATTGGACTCCTAAAGAGAGTTGCAATCGTTTGCATACCTGCTCGATCCCAAACTTGGAGAGCAGCACCAAATATCACTAGCGAACAGCTACATCGATCAATATATGACACAACCAACCTCCTTCCACAAACAAAATTGTACTTACTTACACCACCAGATTTTTCAAATACAAGACCTTTCCTAAGCTAGACTCAGGAAAGTGACCTTGAGAAGAAACTCGGGAAGAATCGAGAAAGAAAAACTCGATTGAAGACTCAAGACACAAGAGCTTGACTTCGCATTTCTACTACAAAACCAAACTTGCAGAAGACTCAAGACACAAGAGCTTGACTTCGCATTTATACACCAAAAACAAACTTGCAGAAGACTCAAGACATAAGAGCTTGACTTTGCAATCTATGAAGAACAACATTTGACTCCAGACAACTTAGGCAAAACATAAATTCAGGAAACTTACCTCAACATTCAAGTTGAGAAGACTCAGCAAACTGAATGTACAAACACAAACCAGACCCAATCAAGATCCGGGAAAGAGATCTTCAACAAAAGAATCGAGAAGTGAAAAAGGAAGAGATAGAAAAAGAGAAACTAGAACAACAATAGCAACAAATTTTAGAAACAATATTAGAGAAGTACGACAAGGAGGATAAAGAAATTCAAGTTGCCGAGTCGAGCAACTCAGCCAAAGATAACAAAGAACTAAATAGTGAAGACGCCCCAAAGTTTGAGGCATTTGAAGAAGCCGAATACATAGCACCAAAGTTTTACTCCAATCCAGACTCACCAGAACAACAACCTCACCAACAAAGTCTACAATTTCAAATGGCAATCATCAACCCAGCGACAGCCATAGGGAACATGATTTCCTATCCCATTTTTACTGGTGGAAAAACCGAAGATGCAAACCAGCATCTTAAACAATTTGATCAAATTGTAAAGATGAACAAACAGGAAATGCATCGAGAAATACTTTTCCCATACACACTTAAAGGAAAAGCACTCGATTGGCATAATACACTCGATGATGCTTTGACCCATGATGAAAAAGTCACACAATTCAAGGAACAATTCCAGACCGGTGGAACTCCAGAAGAACACTATGAGATCATCAAAAACTTCAAGCAAAAATCACGTGAAGGAATTCAAGATTATACTCGAAGATTTAAGTTTCATGCAAAGCGCTGCAAGGATTTGATAACAGATAAAGGAAAGAGCTTATCCTATATCCAAGGACTAAAAGAAATTTATAGAAACATGGTAGCAATTGCTGCTGCAACAGAGAATCCAGATGATGAAAGTGTTGATACACTCTCCAAAGAAATCCTCACATTGGAAAAGCGATTCAAGCAATTCACAAAAGCTATACCTTCACAAACTGATGACGGTTCAGATGATGAAGAAGAGGAAGAAATACGCATTAAGACAAAGAAGAAAACACCAAAAGACCAAGACTTGAAGGATATAATCAGGAAAATCTCACAAACCGAACTCAAAGCAGGAGTGTGGTGTACAAAGTGTAAAAATGAGGGACATACATATTTGGAATGCAAATTACAGCTTCCAAAGTGTCAAATTTGTGAAAGAGAAGGCCATACAGCCAAGAAATGCCGATACAGGAATACAATGGAAGTTTCAAGAATCGAGAATGTTCCTCGACAAGAGCCCAATCCACAATATCAAGGCAACTGGAATCAAAATGCACGACCACCACGCAATGAACCTCCAAGATATAACAATTATTATCAACATGATGATAATTTGTACAATCAAAGAGGAAACTTTTACCGTCAGAACAATCGCAACTACAATAGAATACCCCCTCAAGATCAAAGACTAAACAACTATTCTGGAAACTATGGAAGAAACTACAATGCATATCAGCAACGTGATGGACCTCGTGACAACTACCAATGTCCTCCCCCACGAAATTACAATTATGATCAAGAACCATATCGCAACTATAATCAAAGACCACCTCAAGCTCAAGGTTACAATTACAACCAGCGACTTGCACCACAACAAGATAATCGACCTCGGCAACCTTACCAAAATGCAAATCGTGAAAATAACCAAGTCGTAAACAATCAAGCTCCAAGAGCAAGACCACCTGCAGCATGGAATGTTGAGGTCGAAGTCGAAGACTCACAAACTTATGAAGAACCAGCAATACGAGTAATCACGAGACAACAATACAAGTATCAACAACCAGATAATTTGGAAGAACAAGATCACGATGATGAACTGGAAATTATCCCAGAAACCGAATGGAAGAAAAGCAAGAAAATACTTAAAGCAATTCAAGCTGAATTGCAAGCACAAGATCCAGAAACAATCAAAGAACACGACAAACAATCAAACAATCAAGAAACAAGAAGTTTTACCCAAGAGGAGCTGGCACCTGTTCAGCAGAAAGAAAAGTTTCATGTGGAAAAGCAAGCTGAAGCAAGGTTGAAGCAAAACCTAGTGGAAGATGAACAGCCTGATCAGATTGAGCAACCAGCAGAAGAAGACGAAGACCTGCAGTGGATAAAGGAGTTTCAGACGCAGGAACTTGAGGTGGTGCTTCCGAAGTTTTGTGAGCAGACGGAGCAGAAGAAAAATTCAGTGCCAAAGTTTAAACTTGAAGGTGGCTGGTGTGAAGTTGATGAAGAGACGAGGAAGTGTGTTTCTCAGGTTCTGGTGGGACAGAGGCAAGCTGGTTTCATTCTTTGTAGCTCTGTAGGAGTAGAGGAAGTAAGTAGTAAAGCAGCAAAACTGAAAGGAGAAGTTGTGGCTGTTTCAAGCCGGATGTTTAAAGTTTCGAGAAGAGGCATTTGTGCAACTGATCTCGGGAAGAAGCTGGTCAAATTCAGATCACAAGACTTTGAGGAAGCAGCTCAGACTTATGAAGAGGAGGAAGAGGAGGAGGAGCCACATGAGGGAGCAGCTACCCACGATGCAGCAATGGAGCAGTGACTGCGGGACGCAACACAAGGCAGTCGTGGGAGAGTGGAGAAGGGAGAAAAAGACAAGCTCAAGGATTCAAGCTTAGGAAAGTAAACTTGAGAGGTTCAAGGTTAGGACTGTATTCCTAACCTTGACGTGAGCTTTGGCACAACCAGGTAAGTGCACTCATCTCGTAGTGTAGTTTTAGTTTTAGTTTTAGATCTCGTGTGGACGTTTCCTCCCAGTCCAGAGATTTCAAGGAGTTTTCAGTAAACAATATGGCCCATGCAGGTCTCGAACCTGCGACCTTGGCCTTATTAGGACCACGCTCTGACCAACTGAGCTAATAAGCCTTGACGTTGAATTTAGAAAAACTAAAGATTAAATTTAATAATAATACATTTGAACCTGGAGTTACAATATAATTGTGTGCCTTAGCGACAATTCTTTTGCATCAAGGACAAAACTTCATGTCATGCTGGGGCGAGGAGCCGCAGATAACATGATTAAATATATCTTTGCAATTAACAATGGTAGTTATACTTCTGGTAGAAATTAGATTTTTCATTTGGAAAGAAATTTAATTAATTTGCATTGTTGTAGAATTGTAGTATTGATAAAATATGTGTTTTAGTAACTTTTTAAAATTAATAATATGAGTAATAAATTTATTTATTTCTTTAAGCAACATAAATATTACTATTAAGTATACAACTTTCATATCATAAATATATGCTATTATATGAATTATTATTTTAATTTTTTTATAAAATTACATTTTCTATTAAATACACTAAGAAATGACATA